AAAAGGATTTGGATTGTGTTCCCCAATCCACCATCAGCAATAGTGTCATGGCCTCTCAAAAACGTAACACCTCTTCCTAGGCCATGAGGACTGCTGGCATCTACACCACTTCCATAACTGCCCTCATCACACAAATTACAGTATTCAGCCTCAGGATAGAGGGACTAGACTAGCATGTCCGTTACATCCAATTCACCTCCCAGACAATTGTTTTTTTTCTCTACCTTTTCCTAGTTTGATTGATGACTCAAAGTGTATATATACAGAATAATCCATAGTTGCAACTGTAAAATCAGCTAGGCCCACGAAGAAGGCTCCACAATAATGTCTGCTGCCATTTCCACTGGCATTGCAGCTTATTCTACCATGACTAGATCAAATGTCATAAGAACAACAAAGGGAGAGCAGGGTCTAGTTTATGGATGCCATCCGAGTCCCTCTTTACTCAGGATGTAGTGCAGAGTATCAAATTAAGTGTGCAATGTCTGGCCTTGGTGGTGGTAGTGCTGAATCTGGTGATAATATTGCTGTTTCCCAAAACACTGCCAACATAGCACTTTTACTTCTGGCACATATGAAAATATATAACTGCTAGTAAGAAATACTGAGGAAAGAAACAGAATACAAACGTACTAAGGAAGGCAGTAGGTTAAGTGGTGCTGTCAGGGCCAGACTGGGGAAAACAATTGGCCTGGGCATTTTTGAATCACAGCGGCCCACTGAAAAGGGGAGGTTGTCATGACCAATGACAAGCACACACCCTCAAAGTGAGCATGATGGTTCAATGCTTTTCCAGGTCAGCTCATGCACCAAGCCCTGCTGAAGAGCTTTTGAATGAGAAAAATGCCCTGTATTTGTTCTGCGCAGCGCAAGCAAATTTATTAAGTCTGCATTTTTATTTTTGCACTGCTTTTTAAAAGCAAAGAGTTTGATAAATCTCCCTCATTGTTTAAATTCTCTTTTTCTCTGTATGATTTCTCTAGAGTAGGGATAGGCAACCTTCGGCAATCCATATGTGGACTACATACCCCATAATGCGCTTACATCCATAATGCTGACAAAGCATCATGGGAGGTGTAGCCCAAAACATTTGAAATGCAGAAGGTTGCCTACGCCTGCTCTAGGGATAAGTAAACATCATATGAGAAACCTGGGAAGTGACAGTGCTCCTTTAACTTAATAACTACTGAATGTTCTTAAACAAGCATAGTAAAATAAATAAATAATTAGGTAGACATACATTAACACGTGTAACAGTAATATGAGAATTAAACATTTTTATTCATATATCATTTACAATATTACATTATAAATGTACAGACCTTGCAAAAATAAAAAATAAAATAAAATGAAAAGTCATAGAATAATCTTATCAGATGTTTTTACTTTTAGATTTGTTTTATGTTTTATTTGACAATTTGACAATAAATCAAATACTTTCTCAGTTCTAAAGGTTTTGAACTGAATTGTAAATTGTGTAGATAGATAGATAGATAGATAGATAGATAGATAGATAGATAGATAGATAGATAGATAGATACATAGATCCTTCTGTTTTTATATATTTACACAACACTTAAATACACATTACATACTTATCTTTCTTAAATTCAATTTGTGCAAACAAAGAGATACAATTAATCTAAACTAAAACTGCATTTCAAACAATAAAATCTAGAATGTTATAATAATGTCTAACAGTATTATTCTTGGAAATCCTTTGTTACAGTCACCAAAATTTATATATATAATGGGGTATCAACAATATATAAGCAAGAGCTGTTACACGTGTGAATCATTCCTGTTGGTTTTGACACAAGTTGAACAACTGCATTCTATTTAAAGCACTGAATGTACATTCATGTAGCTGCTATGCCAAGAGGTAGGCTGACTGAGTCATGGGCAGATGAAATTACACCCTCAAAAAGCTTTCTCCTTATGCCCTTAATCTATTTCAAAATCTCATGAATGTTACACCTACTTTATGAACATGTTTAAACTTACTTCTGTTGTTTGGTCTGAAAATATTTTTATTTTTTTTGCACCATGTAATTTATATAGGAAAGCAACTAAGTAAGGGATGCCATTTTTTACATTTGTTACATTACTATTTAGAATTGATAAATTCTTTCCATTTGTAGTTCATTGTCTAGAATTAGATCTTGATAGCTGTATTATACAAAGCCTTGGAAATAATAAAAAAAAAAACATTTAAGACATTTGGGTTATTTGGTATGCACAAAGATGGTATGTCCAACTAGAAGGAAAAGCATTCCTGCGAAGAGGGAGAAAAAAATCCCAACTGGAGCCAACATGAAGGACCACCCATAGCGAGTGACTACAGAAAAATTGGAGCAATCCTGCTGCCGTAGATCCTGGTAACTTTTCAGATCTGACATGCTCTGTACCCAAATCACATGCATGATGATGACAAATGTAAAAAATATACCTGAAAGAAAAGCATTGGTTAGTTTTAATGGAAAGTTACATGAATTGATTGCATGTAAAAGAAGATTAATAACATTAAAAATGTCAAAAAAAGTAGCAAATAAAAAGTCTAACAAACACGTACACTGAACAAAATTATAAACTCAACACTTTAATTTTGCCCCCATTTTTCATGAGCTGAACTCAAAGATCTAAGACTTTTTCTCTCAAATATTGTTCACAAATCTGTCTAAATCTGTGTTGGTAAGCACTTCTCCTTTGCCGAGATAATCCATCCACCTCACAGGTGTGGCATATCAAGATGATGACTAGACAGCATGATTATTGCAAAGGAGTGTCTTAAGATGGCCACAATAAAAGACCACTCTAAAATGTGCAGTTTTATCACACAGCAAAATGCCACAGATGTTGCAAGTTTTGATGGAGTGTGCAATTGGCATGCTGACTGCAGGAATGTCCACCAGAGCTGTTGCCCGTGAATTGAATGTTCATTTCTCTACCATAAGCAGTCTCCAAAGGCGTTTCATAGAATTTGGCAGTACATCCAACCGACCTCAAAACTGCAGACCACGTGTAACCACACCAGCCCAGGACCTCCACATCCAGTATCTTCACCTCCAAGATCGTCTCAGACAAGCTACCCAGACTGCTGCTGCAACAATCGTTTGCATAACCAAATAATTTCTGCACAAACTGTCAGAAACCGTCTCAGGGAAGCTCATCTGAATGCTCATCGGGGTCTCGACCTGATTGCCGTTCGTCGTCATAACCGACTTGAGTGGGCAAATGCTTACATTCTGTGGCGTCTGGCACTTTGGAGAGGTGTTCTCTTCATGGATGAAGGATCCCCCCCGGGATTGTGGCCTGCCTGTGCAATAATCATGCTGTCTTATCAGCATCTTGATATGCCACACCTGTGAGGTGGATGGATTATCTCAAAGTAGAAGTGCTCACTAACACAGTTTTAGACAGATTTGTGAACAATATTTGAGAGAAATAGGTCTTTTGTGTATATAGAAAAAGTCGTAGATCTTTGAGTTCAGCTCATGAAAAATGGGGGCAAAAACAAAAGTGTTGCGTTTATAATTTTGTCCAGTGTTTTTCCAAGTCAAATTGTCTTACTAAATATAATAAAAGTGAAAATAAAAGTAAACCATAATCCATAATTAAAATAGAACTGTACAACCCTAAAGCTAAGAAAAGTTATTTATGATGTGTGCTATATGTTTTCACAGCTGTATTGTTTGTTTGAAATTGTATGACAGGATGTGCTACAGATTTTTTTCACTACCTTCTACTACACTATTTATTCCAGTGAGGTCTTTAATAGTATTTACATGGGTGAGAAAATGAGCAACCACCATCATTATTATTGAAATTGCAGTTCCTTTTAAAGAGTAATGGTCACATGAGGGGTTGTTTTTTAGAGCAACAGATGGTAAGATTGGTGAGATGTTAACAAGATGGAGCATCAGAATCTGTTGGATGCTCCACCCATTACCAATGTTTGCCAAAAATCAACACTTAAACGAGATTAATAGTTCCTAACTGGTATTTTATGAATCTATTGACTCTCTGATTGAGTTGGAATTTCAAGTTTTTATTTTGATACTTAAAGTGGTTCTGTCAAGGCAATAAAGATAAATTCAATCAATTGTCATTAAAATTTCAATGTAATTACAATATATCATAAAAATATGCAAAGAACCCAAAGGTGACAGAGCTGACATAGTCCAGACAGCATATTTGATAGAATGCAAAGAGAAGGATGGATAGAGAATGACAGACAATGTATAATGGTGAAACATCATAATAAAGTATAGCAGGTCCAAAAGCTCTAGAACCCCAACATGACATAGCAGATGCTGTGCGGTAGATGTTGTCCCACTTATCGCAATGGAATTTCAAGATTTATGTCCTGGTGCTACTTTGAGATTAGGGACCCAGCAGTCATCATGAATTATGTGGAAAAATGCACAGATGGCATCAGCCACCATACACTAAAGGTTTGAAGGCATGATCTGTTCGCTGAAATAATGAATAATGTATATTAACTAGTACATGGCAAAAACAATAGGTTCATCTGAATTGATTTGGTAGAAAAAGTTTAGTAGAAAACGTTTGTGCGGATAGTCTGAAATTCGTTGAAGAGCATGTCTGTTTGGATGAATTTAATCATTTCATCCATGCAAACAATATGGGAAAAATCATTTAGATGAACCAAAGGAGTGTGAAAATAAATATTAAGTATTTATTTTGCAGTACACAAATAGACACATTTTACTACCATTTGATTCACAGATCAAGTAACTATAAGTACCCTATATAAAAAATAAAATTAATGATAATAAAAAATATATATAGATAAATATATATATTCAGATGACCTGCTGAATGCCCAAAATTCAGACTAAATCGCTGAAAGACTTTCAGCCAGTCATGATGCTTAAATTACAATGTAAGTTGTTGCAAAAATTTAAAAGCACATGCAAGTTTAAACATATTTGAGTAATCCCAAATATTTGGGATTTACTGCAGGACCGTTGCTCTAACTATCAGCAATCATAACAATCTAAATCTTTCATATTGAGCCATACTAGTTACAGACAGGACATAATTGAAAACAAGATAAATCTCAATGTATCTTTCCTGGTAAAATATTTTATTAATAAATTAATAAAATTGGATATGTCTTAAAAAAAACTGTTTCTCGTTTGAATCTTTAAAATGTCAAATAAATTGGTATATTTTTTAAAATACTTATGCAAAAAAAGATTATTTATTAAGTGATTGAAGTAGAAATATATGATGGACTCTGTTTATTCACAAAATGTCTGGCAATTTTCACTTTATTAATTAATCAGGTTAAATAATTATGTACTTGGAGAGATGAGTAGATTGTTACTAAGCTTATTTATGGTGGAGAAGAAGTGGCTTGTATTAGTGGTAAGATAACTGCATGAAATGCCTTAAAATATCCTATATACAGTTAAATTAAGAAAATCTAATGAGTCAAGTTAGGTCACTTGACATAACTCAAATTGGGCTCTCTAACTCACAGAAAAACATGAGAAACCTATAACGTGAAAAAAAATCAGTTTTGTAGGTGTTGGAAAAGTATAAGAAAACAATATTAAAAAAATATGTGTCAGGCATATAGTAGATGGGAAAATAAAAAAAATAACTGAAGTCCATGTGAAATATATTTGGTATGTGTCTGTAATTTATGTACATTGGCTTTATATGGATTAAAAAAACAAAATGGGATATGTGTAGGAGAACAAAGATTATGGTTGTACAACAGCCTAGTAAAAAATAAAGGGAAAAATTGCCCTGTAGCTTAACTCTGGTCTTGAATGCGTTAATAAAATAATTTGTTTGACCCACAATAAAGAAATGACCATCAATTTTCTTAATACCATCATTATTAATTAAAATTGATATTTAGAACAAAGTAATCAACTATAATTTTTGAACTTATATAATAGAGGAAGTCTAAAATATTTAAAAAAAATAAATGTTTAATTAGGATGTCTTTTAAGAAAAATTCTTTTCATATGAATTATTAGATGTCTTTTTAAAAACATCACTAAATGCAAAAGGTTCTCTTCCTGTCACGTTAAAGCTAGTAGAAACATGTCTAATGAGCTGAGACCCCAAAAAGATGTTGACATTTCATTAAAAAGGACTAAGATGTAAACAGATAATTTGTTAATGGTCTTTAATGAAATGTTAAAGACATAAATAAAGTAATGAGTGTGAACTTTGAATTCTCAGTTTTAAAATCAATGTCTCACCTCCTGTTCGACCTATTTTTGTCTGTTAAACTGTGTGCTGCCCAACAATCTGATAAGCTATACAGTTAACAAATAAAACTTTCTAAAGACTATATATATATTCTATATATTATAAAAAAAGATATGGATGGATGGATGGATGGATGGATGGATGGATGGATAGATAGATAGATAGATAAACAGAAAATCTTTTGAAATGCTAAAGACTGTGTTGGAACTGATATTCCAATGCATTCAAAGGATATCATAAGATTAAATATGGCCAAATTTGTCTTATGTATTTTTCTTATGCTTGACATAGCTGAAGAAAAAGGCTGAGCTACCTTGGCCGTCTCTAGTGATGGCTGAGGGGAAAAAGGCTTTGTCTATCAAGCATCCCGCAACCTCACGGGACCCTCCATAGACAACAGTGTTGTACTTGCATGCGCAAGAGTACAGCAGTGACATTGGCTTCTAGCAAATAAAATGCCAGAAGCTGAAGAGGACCAGAAGAAAGAAAATGGCAGCAGCCACAAGAACATGTTCAGGTAAGAAAAACTCACCTTTCCCTGAACTCCACGGCCACCTCACTTGATGCACCAAAGTTATCATTGAGGGTCTTTGCAAAATGTGCAAAGATCACAAATGGTGACAGAGCCACTTTAATACACAGCCTCTAAAAACTTGCAGCCAGTCTTTCTACTACTGCTTTAGAAATTTGTTGTCACTTTTCCTTACAGAATACTTCTAATTCACACATATTCTTAGGTTGTCTGTCACACACTTTATATTTAAGTTTTCAATAATATATAGGTTTGGACACTGTAAAGACTAGCTTGTGGTTGATTTTGAGGTGTGTTGATTCATTGTATTGTTGCAATATTGAATTCCTTTTCGGCTTCAGTTTCTTCATTTACTGTTGGATATTAGCTTCCAGCATTCTTTGGTATTTAGTATAATTATTCTTTCATCTACCTTTACAATATATTCTGTCCCACTGGCAGCCAAACAACCTCAAAGTATAATAGATCCATCCCAATGCCTAACAGTTGGCAAGGTGTTCTTTTCTTCAAATGTTTCTCATTGTTTTCTCCAAATGCACCATTGATTGTTGTAACCAAGGAGTTTCTTTTTTTTAGTTTTAGTTGCAAAATGCCTCTAGTACGTTTATGCGCCAGAGTCATGTTGGATTTTGTGTATTATTGTGTACTTCTAATGTTAAGTTTTATGGTGAGAGCTAAGGTTGGGTTTGGAGGCTCTCTTTTCATTTCCTGGCAAGTCTATGAGCAATTCTATCTGAGATTTTTTTTTTTTTGTCTTCCAGATTTTAACAGTTCCACTAAAGTTATATTTGTTAATTTCATCTTGGAAACTGCAGAGAAATATATGCGTGTGTATATATCTACAATAAAGGATTATTTAATAATAAGCCAGCTGTAATACATATCTAGATCTGCCTGTCAGGCCCCCTCTCCCCTGCCTCCTTATCTCATGGTCCCACGCCGCATCTGCCTCTCTCCTCACGGAGATGCCATGCCTGGGCTCCTTCACTTTATCACTACTGACCCACTATCCACCAACGACTGGCCGCAGCATCCCAATCGCAGCACCATGGATCCACACGGAACTCTATTTCCTCAAGGCAGAGGGGCGGAGCAACAGGGATGACCTAGGGCACACGTGTGCCGAAACCACGCCTTCTTAAAGGTACAGAAGGCGATCCATACAGAAAGGGATGGAGTTAAGGTAAATGGACATACCTATTTCTCTCTATTTAAACACCACTCCTCCAAGAACTCATTGCTCAGATATACTGTGCTCCTGTTGTGTTAAGACCTTCGGTGACTACTCTGCTGTATCCTGATAGTGACCTTTGCTTGATTTATTGCTTCTGATGCTGTGCTGCCTGTCCTGACCTTTTGGCTTTCCTGACTATTCTCCGTCTGAGCCTTCAGTACTGCAAATCTGGTTTACATTCTTTCAGCGCTCTTCTGCATCATGAGCTTCATCTACTAAACAGTGACTTCCGACACAGCCTGAGATGATATGTGAAGAGAGGTGCCAGGGACACAGAATGATGATGTCCCTGTCTAAACAGCTCAACTCTCAAAATGCATTTATAGTAGCTACAGCCTTGGAGGATTATCTGGGTATTCGAGAATTTAACCTAACTGCTACTGGAAAGTAGACATTTATATTATGGGACCTGGTATTGTTATGGTTGGTGTCCACTATTAAACACTTAGGAGCTGAAACTTTTTATGGAGTAAAACATAAGTAGGGCATTTTTTATTTTTTTCCCGTGTTCTTTTATTATCTAAATCATTTTCTGATTAAAACATATAGCACTGGAAAAGAATATATATATATTGTAATGTGTTATAAATATAATGCATTAAATGGATGGCAAAACTTTTCAACAGTGTTCCTATAAATATTTTGATTTTATTTAGTTTCATTCATCTTGATTAGTAGAGACATTCATATGTCATCACCTACCAGAAGTGATGAAAAGTCCTCCTCCAGCTTTATATAGTCTGTGGTTTGTAAAGGGAGCTGCACATATAATAATGAAACCTCCTGCTACAACAGTAGCAACTCCAAGCAGCATGAACACGGACCAAAAACCACGATATACTAGAAAATAGAATGTTGCATGTTCACTTATTGAAGTAGACATATCTACACGGATTTCAGTAACTTATAAAGCATTACACATAAAATGCATAAATAAACTACGAGCAAACAAAATCATTTTTCATATTTAATTTTAAAAATCCAGTGGGAAGCATCTTTAAAATGGTAAATTTTACAGGAATTGCAAAAGGAAATCAAGCAATATATTGTAAAAAAACAAAAACAAATATACTTGTATATAATATTGCACTGCTGCTTACAGTCAATCCCACGATGATACTGATAAAGCATTTTCTAAAGAAAATGTGACGTCAAATCACAAATATTTTTTTCAAAACATAACACTCTAAGGATTTCATTCACTGTTGCACTGAAATGTTCAGATAGCAGATTTTTAAACTAAGTAATCAGTATGTTATTGAATTGAAGGCCAGTACCTTATCCCCTAGGTACTAATAAAATAATCATTATTATTGTACCTACCAACTGCAGAATGATACGAAGCTGATGAATTGTTTTTGCTATCATCTCTGTTCATTGGAAATGGGGACAGGTAAGCATGGGTGCAGTTCTTGGTTGGAGCTTGATTGGCTAGTAAAATTAAAGAAATTATATGTAAATGAATAAAAGCCATATGAGAAATCTGAAAACATTATACATCATTATGCCTCTCTGCTATTTCTAACTGGATGGCTGCCCACTTCCTTAAACTAAACTTGACCAAAAATGAAATTCTGGTCTTTCCTCCCTCAAGTGTTGTTACTCCTGTGTCTGTCTCCCTCCAAGTCAACGGTGCTACCATCAGCTCCACCACGCAGGCTTGCTGCCTAGGTGTTCTCTTTGACTCCGACCTCTCCTTCAAGCCTCATGTTCAATCTATCGCCAAATCCTGTCATTTCCATCTCAAAAACATTGCGCGCATCCGCCCCTACTTAACGCCAGATGCGACTAAGGTGTTGGTCCATTCCTCTGTCCTTTCTCGCCTTGACTACTGTAATCCGCTTCTCAGTGGTCTTACGTGCTCCCAACTTGCGCCGTTACAGTCCATAATGAATGCGGCAGCGAGGCTCTTCTTCCTGTCCGCCCGCACCTCCCATGCCTTACCCTTCTGTCAGTCCCTACGTTGGCTTCCTATAAAATATAGAGCTCAATTTAAAATTCTGGTTCTTGCTTTCAAATCTCTACATAATGCTGCTCCCACCTATCTATCCTCCCTTATACACAAGTATGTCCCGTCTAGGCCCTTACGATCTGCTGAAGACTTATGTCTATCTTCTGTCCGTACTCCCACCTCTGATGCTCGCCTTCAAGATTTCTCGAGGGCTGCACCATTCCTGTGGAACTCGCTTCCCTCCTCCGTTAGATGTTCACCCAGTCTCCACTCCTTCAAAAAAATCGTTAAAAATCCACTTCTTCATAAAAGCGTATCAATTAAACTGTTAACAGCTCCTGACTGATTCCTCTTCTGCAACTGTCACTAGTCTAATACTATCCTTACCTTTTTGTGTCATTTTACCCCACTCCCTCTAGCATGTAAGCTCATTGAGCAGGGCCCTCAACCCCTCTGTTCCTGTGTGTCCAACTTGTCTGGTTACAACTACATGTCTGTTCGTCCACCCATTGTAAAGCGCTGCGGAATTTGACGGCGCTCTATAAATATATAATAATAATAATAATAATAATAAAATAGCATTGTCTAATAAACAAATAGCAATATTCACCTCAAAACCATTTAAATATGCACTAGTCATAGGGCATTCTATAACCATGAAAATATTTTTTAATCATAATATTTATTGAAATTCGAAACATCTGACAGCAATTCCAAATAATGCACAATACTAACGAGATATGTTAGATGTAGTTTATATTATAATCACTACTTGGCAGTAAGGGATTTTTTGTCCCAACAGATGTAACAGATGTGTGCCCATCTTAACCCATCTAAGTCAACCTTGTGGTCCATCTATCATTGCCTTCTAAATCTGGATGTTTTTGTATGGTTAAGATGCAACACTAGAAAAAAAGGTAGAGAAAGAGTTTGTTCTTAAATCTGCAGTTTCCTTGTCAATAATCCACAATTATAAGAACCAAATGGCAAAGAGAAGTATATAGTTAGGTCTGGAAATATTTGGACACTGACACAAGCTGTTGTATATGTAGCCCCCTCTTTTTCATAGTATCAATGGTTATTGGACAATTGACTGAATTAACTCAAAAACTGTTTCATGGACAAGTATGTGCTATTCCTTCACTATTTCTTCATCAATTAAGCAGTTTTTTAAGCAGGTAATTAAGCTAGAGTTGATTTCAGGTGTGACATTTGCATTTGGAAGCTGTTACTGTGAACAGACAACATGCAGTCAAATGAAATCTCAATGCAAGTGAAACAGGCCATGGTTAGGCTGCACACAAAAAAAAAAAAAAAACAGAGAGATAGCAGTAACATTAGTAGTGGCCAATTTAACAAATTAACAATTTGGTACATTCTGAGAAAAAAAAAAGAACGTACTGGGGAGCTTTGCAACACAAAATGCCCTGAACCTCAATGGAAAATAAGAGTAGTGAATGGTCGTAGGATCTTTTCCATGGTAAAGAAAACCCCTTTAAAAAATCCACCGAAGTGAAGAACACTCTCCAGGAGGTAGGCATATCATTATCCAAATCTACCATAAAGAGAAGACCTTATGAGAGCAAATACAGAAGGTTCACCACAAGGTGCAAACCATTCATAAGCCTCAAGAATAGAAAGGCAAGATTAGACTTTGCCAAAAAACATCTAAAATGGCCAGCCCAGTATTCTTTGGACAGATGAAACTAAGATCAACCTGTACCAGAATGATGGAAGAAAAAAGTATGGAGAAGACTTGGGATGGCTTATGATCTGAAGCATACCTCATCTGTAAAACACAGAGGCAGAGTGATGGCATGGGCATACATGGCTTCCAACGGCACTGCGTCACTAGTGCTTATTACTAGTATATAGGGATATATTGTCTGCTCAGATTTAGCCAAATTCAGCAAGGTTGATTAGACGGCGCTTCACTTTACAGACATAAAATGACCCAAACAAATATAGTGCATAAGCAAACGATGAGGTTTTAAGGCAAATAAGTGGAATTTTCAATGGCTGAGTCAATCACCTGATCTCAACTTGATCAAGCATGCATTTTGACTTGCGGAAGACAAAACTTAATGCAGAAAGACAAAACAACAAACAGCAACTGAAGTAAAAGCCTGGCAAAGCATCACAAAAGAGGAAACCCAGCGTTTGGAGACGTCCATGCAGTCCATGCCTGCAAAGGATTCTGGACAAAGTATTAAAAATTAACAGTTTATTTATGATTATCCTAATTTATCCAATTACATATGAGCCCTTGAGCTAAGGGGACTGTATGAAAATGGTTGCAATTCCTAAACGTTTCATACAATATTTTTGTTCAACCCCTTGAATTTAAACTGAAAGCTTGCACTTCAATTGCATCTCAGTTGTTTCACTTCAAATCCATTGTGGTGGTGACCAGGGCCAAAATTATGAAAATTGTGTCAGTGTACAAATATTTACAGACCTAACTAATTTGATTACAGATAGATATAATAAACCATATATAAAAAATAAATATATGATTCTCATTTATACCTGTTTTTTAAAATATACATTTGATTTATTAAAAATTTTAAATGAAAAATATGTCCTCCGGTCTAGCGCAGGGCATGACACTACATAGTATATAGAAAATAGGTGGAAAAAATAGTTAGAACGCAAAATGCAAAAAAAAAAAAAAAAAAGATGCTACATCCACTATTAAAACACCCTCATTACATCACTATAAAAAAGTCAAACAACTTGCATATGCATAATTGTATAAAACCTAATGGCATTTCTGGGAAAGCAGCTTTCTAAATATGTAATTAAAATGTAAAAATAATGTTTTCCGATAGCAAGAATGCAGCCATAAGGCATGTCCTCTAAAACTTGTTGCAGAGTATGGAAGAAAAGAGTAGACTTGTGCATTACAGAAAAATTGAATGATCAGCGGAGGTGGACTGAAATTAGTCCATGCAGTGTTTTGGATCAGACAAATTTCAAAATGGCGTTACAAAGGTCCAATCAGTGTACTGCTAAATATATTCAAATACAATATTTTAGAAAGCATAAAAATGTGCCTCATAGCAAACACTATACTCCAGAAACCTAAAATCTGAAGGTGCAGGTAAAACAAAATATGTCCGTACAGAAACCAAAGTGCAATTAGTGCAAATAAAATGTTAGCAGACAGAAACATCCCTGTGTAAGGTAAAGCTTCCATTTTTTATTATACACTCGATTGAGCACTACAATTTTATTTTTTCTTTTGAGTAAATGTACTTCAGCCAACCCATGGTGATCTGAATACAAAGTGAAGATTAAATCCTTGGGGGGAATTTCTATCAGGCACCTGATAGTGTACCTAAAATCTGAAGTATGATATTTTCAGAACCCTCTGAATTCCACAGAAAAGAGGCATAATCTTTCTGAGTTGCTGTCTGATGCAATGCTGGTTTAAATAAATTGTATAATTATTATTTTGTGGGGAGTTTTGACAATGCCCTTCTCAGTACAACATTATTAAGGATTATTCTTATGCTGTCAGAGAGATTTCCATTTCTGAACCAACGCCAGCACTATAGTGACAAACAAAACAGCTGTGCATGGCTGGACTTTGGTTCATTCAGATCCTATCACACACATTGGCATAAAACTTACGTCTTAAAATAGACGTTCATGGCAAAGAGAACATACAGAAATGTGTGATGGAGATCTGAAAAAGTGACAATACTTTGTGCTTAATTTTACATTCTGCTTGCCAGAGGAATTTTGAGAATGTGATTTTATAGGATTTCTGTATCAGTTTTTTTATATGTTAAACAGCAAATCTTATTAACAATGTAAACATATACACATACTACACCACTTCACTTGAAGGACGTTGTTTTGATTACTCATGCTCAATAGTGAAAAATAACACATCCTCAATTAGCATCAAATGGAGGTAGTTTTTTTTTTTTTTTTTTAAGAATTAGAATGTTATATATCTTACTGAACCAAAAAGTCTTCATGTTGTCTGTGTCATTTCTTATTTCACCATTAAACCAACATCTCCAAAAGAAACCCTCATGATGCAAAATTACTGGATGGTTGTCGTCAACCTGCAGATAACACCAAAACAATGAATGCAAAGATCATCAGCTGCATTAGTTAATGTATGTAGAAGATGCATACATAATAATGGGAAATTAGAACATTTTGGACATATTGGCATGCCCATTTTCCTACCTTTCCAAGGTCATTATTTGGTGATCTTGTTATCTAACACCATTTTTATTTAACCCTTTAAGAGCCCGTGTGTGTCTCTGACATGATTACATTCTGTTCTATAAAGCTCAGGTTCCTTAATGGAATGATTGCACAATTAATGACTGCAGTGCTGCATGGAGATTCCAAAGCTAATGAACAGGACATTCAGTTCTAGCATTAGGTCTTTAGAGACTAGGTGAGGAGAACAGAAAAGCGTACCATTTGGTCCTCAAGAGGTTGAAATACTTTATCTACACATTAACACTTCCACAATAAAAAATAAAAAAATGCAGATCAAGCTGTCTTGTTATAAAACTCTTTAAAAAAGTTACCCTCCTCTTAAATTTTTTTTACTTTTTTCAAAAATAATTTGATTATCGACCTCTCAATCAGTTTTCTTCTACCTTCAACTAAATACCTTTCATGGATCACTATATAGAAAATTGACAACAACTAAATACCTTTCATGGTTCAATATATAGAAAATTGACAACAGTCAGATATCAAACTTCAATGTACAGTTGCAACACAGCTTTTCAGCACCATCCCCAATACCACTAAACAAAGAGAAGACAAATACTGACCCCTTCTTTAGTTTCAGAGCATTTTTCAACTTCCATGGCAAGAAGCCAATAGTCTGTTCCAAAAGCCACCAAATAGATTAAAATTCCCAATGCACCGAATAGGCCACCAAAAAATATACCAATGCTTAGCTTCATTTTTGATCAAAGTAGTTAAATATTTAAGAATAATTTTAAAAACCCTGTAGTTCCACAAAACTTTGTCCAGAGCAAATTTCGAAAGACTAAAGTTCTTCTGTGTTTAATAGACAAATGGGAATTGCTGCTTGTCCTGCAGTCGTATTCCAGTAGCAAGCCACAAACAAATGCTGAGGAGCAGCTATTTCAGGACTTTGACTGGGCAGCTTTGCAATGTAGCTGTGACAGGGTGTGTCCAGTCAGAAATAACTGACCTTTCCGAAGAGTCAGGGAATGATATGAAGGGTGGCTGCAGATCATCCATTGCTTGGAGATGTTTGAAGAAGATGGGATCTAATATCTATAATATCACGTGGTAGTGTTGAAGCGTGGGCATTTTATTGGCATCCTACAGTGTTGTTAACAAGCAGAAGTGCAAAAATATGTGCAGGTTTACAATATTGCTATTGTGCTATTTTTAAGTCAATCTTATTTAATCAGCCTTGCTCAAAAACAAGGTTGACGAAAGGAGAAATATAAAGACATATCACATGCAGAAAAGGGGATGTACGGTTTATTGTATTGGGTATGCTCTCCAGAATAATAGATTATATATATTTTTATTTTTTTACAAATACCGTATTAATACGCACCTTTTTTGGAAAAATCAAGTTTCCAAAATTGTAATGTGCATTAGATTTGATGGTGCATTACATTCGGGACAACATTCTACATTTTCCAGCAAATTTTATTCAGGCGAATTCGTACAGGCAAATTAAAACTGGTGAATTCACACAGGAAAATGTTGTTCTTGAAAGAGGGCTTTAGAAAAAATAGACGTAACATGTAACACTAATACCATTAATGTTACTATGGTAAATGGCAATAAACATTTTCATTGTATGACAATGTTGTGTAGTAGTATCTTCTTGTATAAATGTGCATTACATTCACCAACATTTTTCAGCTTCCAAGTTTCAAAAGGTGCGCATTAGATTCAATGGCGCTTTAGATTTGAGTAAATATGATACATTTTGTTCTAGATAGTGAAATATTTCATGGTGCGCAATTCATCATATTATTTAGGCTACACTTTAAGGTGTGACATCTTCCCATGATGCCCCATATGTGCATTTTCTTTCCATAATGTTGAGTGCATTCCTCATGCTTGGAATTCTTCCAAAGATGGTGCGTATGTGCGTGAACATTAACATATTGCAGGCATGATAATTATATGCCAGAAGATTTACATTGCAAGCCTGTTTTAAAAAAAAAAACAAAAAAAAAAAAAAAACACAAACTGAATAGCAGTATTAGGGGAGAATAGAATAACCCATAGTTAACCATGAGGTTTTTAATTAGATAATACATTATGCACATATCATAGATGTCTTTGTGACATCCAGCATACATTGCCTCTATGTATAGCCTCAGAGATGGCCACTGTATCCTGTGTGTCAGCCATTTAAAGGTCATCAACCTATGATCATGGTCATTGAGACTTGGCTATTGCTGGATGCCTCACAAACAGGACAGGATTAAGAGCCTATTGGGCCTGGTGCTGACAATTATGATAGGCCTAATTACAGAATTTTATCGACAGAAAACACTAAAACAGTTATACCTCCCGAGCAATCATGTGTCTGGTGGAGGTGGTGCTGAAAGGAAACTCACAGGATATAACTTTAAGAAAACACATACCCTATGCTAATCTCTCGCTTTCATCTTTCAAGTAAATCTATACCCCCTAACAGCGGTGTCTGGTGAACTAGGATTTTGGTGGGCAGGGTAAAAAGGTGGGTCACTGAGGTGAATCACGTAACCAGAACAGCAAAAAGGGACAAACATGATCATAAAGGGAGTGTGTCTGCACAAATAATTAGATGGTGAGGCTGGCGTGAATGCACGTTAGGCTGCCTGCCAATCATGCATAATGACCGACCAAGGGCATACTGTGAACACCGTACATCCGGTTGCCTTTCACATTGCATCCGTTTGCCTTTCTCTATAGAAAATAATCCTCAAATTAACAGAATTACAGTACTGGAGAAAATGAATTACTATCCATAAAATTGGTTTCAGAAGAGTGGGAACATCACCTAGCAGACTGCTCCTTATCATTTGTTATATACACTCACCACAAAAACCTCAAGAAGGCCAAAACAATCAACCCTAGACTGGCCAGATGGGCTCTTTTCTTTGAAAGATTTGACTTCCATGTAATCTATAGACCTAGCAGTAAAAATGGCAACGCCGATGCACTGTCAAGGTGTTTTGAAACTGAAACATTCCAAAATAATGAATTCATGTTCTCCTCATCCCAAATAATAGGATTGACAACAACCTTGTCTCTTCAACCTCTGTTGATTGTCCACCCAAACCTAATCTTAAAAAAGAAAATGGAATTTGGTACAACAATAGCCGCTTGTACATACCCAAACATGCCCTAATTCTGCAAATTCAGAAAATAATTGTATTATTACTGAAGATCGGAGTAAGATCATAGATGAGTTTTTGCTTTATTCTTTTTAGGGGTAGACCATGCCAGCAATAGTTATTCTCTAACCAAAAAAACATTTTTTGGTTGGAGTAACACTTCATGGTATTAAAACAAAATACAATTTCAACCAATCCAAAATAAAAGCTACAAAAAGTTGGTCACATGGAAAAACACACCTGCAATCATTTCAAAGGCTTTAAAGGACCACTATAGGCACCCAGACCACTTCAGCTTAATGAGGTGGTCTGGGTGCCAGGTCCATCTAGGATTAACCCTTTCTGCTGTAAACATAGCAGTTTCAGAGAAACTGCTATGTTTATATTAGGGTTAATCCAGCCACTAGTGGCTATCTCATTGACAGCCGCTAGAGGGCTTCCGCGCTTCTCACTGTGATTTTCACAGTGAGAAGATGCCAGCGCCCATAGGAAAGCATTGTAAATGTAAATGCTTTCCTATGGACTGGCTGAATGCATGCGCGGCTCCTGCCGCGCATGCGCATTCAGCCAAAGAGGAGGAGAAGAAGCGGAGAGGAGGAGGAGAGTTCCCTGCCCGGCGCTGGAGAAAGAGGGGGAGTTTAACCCCTTCCTCCCCCTAGAGCCCGGGCACTATAGTGCCAGGAAAACGAGTATGTTTTCCTGGCACTATAGTGGTCCTTTAAATAAATGGCAGGATGCTCAAATAATTTTCTAAGGCTCTCGTCAAAGTGCTAAATGTATCCCATAAATTACTGCACAGCAATAGTAGCACAGTTGCCAGCAATAATAATAATGCCAAAGTATTTACCTAGGAAAGGTACATTTAACTTGTCCCCTGTTTCCAAGTATGTCCTGAGGTCTTTATGTTATTGGGGAAAAAAACAAGCAGAATCAACCCTGCTCCCAATACTTACACAGAACAGCCAAAAATTATTTTAATGCAGCTCAAAAGAGAAATAAATTAAGAAATAATAATAATAATAAATGTCACACAATCAAGACTATACCCAAAGACACAGCTAAATCAGACATGACAAAATCTCATTTTGTATCGCCATATCTCCTTGTGTAGGGCTGTAAGTACATACAGTAATACACAGTAACATATGGATGCAGAGGAAAAAACTGCCCCACTCCCTTATCACCTCACACCTACAGTAAAAAGACTAGAGGCTTGAGAGCTAGCCTCCTGGTCATAGATTTTGTACAAAAGAGACTCTCCCAGCCTGTTCGGACACTGTTGCGGTATTGCTGAGTAGATATTGTATTGCACAGCTGCATCTGTTAGTGGAAGCTTCAAAGTCACAGTTATTTGTGCTGTAAGAAGTATTTGCTTATTGTGGCAACACAGACTGAATGATGTGAATTTGTGTGTTTCTCTAAAGGAACACTATAATGTCAGGAACACAAACCATAGGGGTAAATGAACTATCTATATCCTGGCTGCCCCTCTATGTAGACTTTTAAATGTAAAAAACAACCACACATTTTTTTTTTTAATGTATTTAGCACTGAGCAGTGTTTGTATATTTTTAATGTGAGCATGTTTTGTATGAAGTATATGTGAGTGAATGTACGGGTGTTTGCACGTATTGACATTTGAATGCAGGCGTGCATTTTTCTGTAGTGTGGTTTTATGTAGTGTTGACATTTGGATGCAGGGTTGTATTTGTGTGTAGTGTAGACGAAATGTTGAAATGTATGCACATGTACACATATACGCACACCGGCACACATACAGATACACAGACACATAGGTACTGTGAGCGAAAAAGTGGAATAGTGGTTGATGGAAGATACATCAGGCCTGATTTGCTAAACAGCAACCAGAGAATTTAAATGCCCCAGGGAGAGATGTTAAAGTTTGCAATATACATTGCTGATGCTCTACAAAACATGGTATGGGTCCCTGAGGCGGAGAATTTGGAGAGCAGGGTGGGCCAATGCGTAACAGACCATAATTTTGATTTAGTTTAAGAGTTAACTAATTGGCACTCACCTGTAGCTGGTCAATTAGGAGAGAGAGAGAGAGAGAGAGAGAGAGAGAGAGAGAGAGAGAGAGAGAGAGAGAGAGAGAGAGAGAGAGAGAGAGAGAGAGAGAGAAAAAAAAAAAATTGTGTTTATTGCAAAGCTATTTCGTTTTTTGGGGGGAAATTGGTAAGTGGGAAAGCCACCCAATTAAGGATAGTGATTTCTGTCTAGTAAGAGCTCAAGTAAGAGCAAGGAATTTTGTTTATTATTATTTAAAGCAAATGTTTTTCCTATCAAATAAAAAAGGAAAACCGAACTGAATGTGTCCTGGACTTTGTATACCCTAGAAGGCTCTGGTTTATTGTAAGATCTGTGACAAAATCCTACCTGTAAAAGAGGTGGTTTGTTACAGTACACACATGCAGTTACATAGAAACACAGTCATACACAGATACAGACAAATACTGACACACATACAGATACACTGGAATAAACAGACACACAAACAGATACACATACAAATACAGACATACAGATACACATGTATAAGTGTGTTTGCTTAGTAGATGCAATGTGTGTATAGTGGATGCAGTGTGTGTATAGTGTGTGTGCGTATAGTGCATGCAGTGTGTGTGTATAGTGTATGCAGCTTCTGTGTGTGTGCTGAGTGGAATAAGTGCTGGGAAGGTGAGCAGTGTGAATGGTTTGCCCCTCGCCCCCTCCCTGACACTTACCTGTCCCTTCTGTCCTCCTTCACGGGTGGTCCTGGTGGTACGATGGCACAGCATAGGTGGGCCCAGAACTCTGCACACGAGTTTCCCATCCAGCAGCAGGGACCTCTGTTCTCGCGATCCACGAGAGCGCTGCCGCGGGTTGCCAATGCTCTCGTGGATCGCAAGAACAGAAGACCTGCTGTTGGATGGGAAACTCGCGTAGATACTCTTATAAGTGGCAGGTCCCTTTACATAAGACACAGGGGCGGCAAAATGCCGCCCCTGTGAAAGTGCTCCCCGGGCAACCCCCTAGTGAGTGGCACCCGGGGCGGACCGCCCCCCCCCCCTTAGTACGCCACTGGGGACATGCTATACTTAGAGCTACATTAAGCTATAGTTGTGCTGGTGACTATAGTGTGCTTTTAACTCTCCCTTTTTATGGCAGTTATATTTGGTGTTCTTGCCTCTATGTTTGAGCTGCATCCTTGACCTGTGAGCCAAAAATAGTCATTGTAAAGGTGGAAGCAGAAGTTGGCAGAGGGATCTATATAATCCTAGAACAAAGATTAGACAAAGAAAGTTACCAGCCCATCTAGTGACAGGATGGCTAGAGGTGATTCTTGGTGCTGAAAGAGACAGGACTGATGTCATAAAGGGACAGGTATAAATTTTAAAAATCAAGGGATCCCCAGTTTCTGTTACATTAACTATTTTAGGAGATAGGACAAAGGTGGTGGGTTTCCAAGATGTAGAATGGTGAAAAACACTCCTTTTTTTTCTTTTCAAATATTTTTTATTAAAGGTTTTATATTTGTACATCAATATATGCAATACTTTTATATTGAATACATATAAGACAAATTGTATATGAAGATACATACATCAAATGTACAAAAAAGAAAACAAAAAACATGTTTAAAGAAAACAAAAAAACTAGTTTATAGTAATATGTAGTCAAGAAAAAAAAGATGTCATGTTCTTAAACTCCAGCTCTTTTTTAAATTACTTTATTTTATTTTTTTTCTCTATTAGCAAAACCATTGATTTGAATTGGTTTAATGATGCAACCTTTTGATGTTATTTTATAATATAAACTGAGAATAACGAGACAAGACGGAGAAAGAAAGGAATAGGGTGAAATGTCCTTAGGAGTGGAATCTATTTTTAAATATATGTTAAGACTGAACTACTGCAAAGTATTGCTGGATGTTTGCTCTAGAGCATATATCTTATTTTCATATCCTTAAGTAAATTTTTAAGGGTTATAACTCCCTCTCATCTCCCCTGCCCCTCCTCTTTTACCCCCCTTTCTTTCCCTTCTATTTTTCTTTCCCCCTAAACTATAGAATCACATGAGAAATGTTTCTCATTTTATTTCTTTTTAATTCTAAAAGTTTAATTGTTAACTATACAAGGAAAAAAATGACATAATGACACATTTGTATTGTTACTATAAACACCCCTTTTATTTCAAAACCATTCTGATTTGAGCTTGAAAAAAAAAAAATACAGAATATAAATGAGACCAAAACAATCAAATGTCTTTCAGTTATTTTGGTTATATTGCCAAATATATTCCTTTAACAGTAGTTCATTAGAGAAGGATAACATTACATATATACTTCTCTTCAGAATATTGCAGGCGCCTTGTGTGTCCTTTAAAGGCCACACATCTCTCAACTCAATTTTGCTGGGAATTACCAGCATGGTGACAGGCAATTTCATACCTTAAATATCCTGGTGCTAACGTTATTCTACAAATTTAAAACACATTAATCTAGTCTGTGAAATACCTGTTAATAGAAGACTCAAATTGGTAGGGGAGGGGGGAGATGAAGAAATGGGAAGGGGAGGGGGAGAAGAAGAAATGGGGAGGGGGGGGAAAGAAATAGAGGAGGGAGGAGAAGAAATGGGAAGGGAGGGAGGAGAAATGGGGGGAGGGGGAGGAGAAGAAATGGGGAGGTGGGAGAAGAAATTGGTAGGGGAGGGAGAAGAAGAAATTGACAGGGGGGAGAAGAAGAAATTGGTGGGGGGAGAAGAAATTGACGGGGGTGAGAGTGACAGGGGAGGGAGGGGCAATGAGAGTGGGAAGGGGGAGGGGAAAAGAGAGTGACAAGGGAGGGAGAGGGGGGAGAAGAGTGACAAGGGAGGGGGGAGAGATTGACATCCATCACACACACATGCAATGCACCCCTTGCACACAGAAAAACACACAATGCATTACACACACAGACACACACACACAAACAATGCAACCCTTACACACACAGAAACACACATTGCACCCCTTACACACGCACACACTGCATCCTGTACATACACAGAAACACACCTTGCAGCCCTTACACATACAAACACAGATTCACACAATGCATTCCTTACACACATATCAGGACATCCCCTACACACTCCACCCCCTGTGAACAAACTCATTGGTGGAACATGAAGGTGGACCCTGGGACCCAGACCTTGAGCTGTGTAAAGGGCCCCCAAAAAATGGAGCTGCTTCCCGTTCTCCCAGAACATTGATTTTTGTGACCACAGTTACAAACAGCCTCCAGAGAGCCTGTTCTACACCAGACCAGTGGAGCCAGACTGCAGCTAGAGCCCATCATCATCCTCATCTCGTTGTAAGTAGGCAATCTAGTATATTATTCGTGGCACTAATCTCTAATTTACCTCACATTAAAGAAACACTATAGTCCCCAGAACCACTGCAGCTTAATGTAGTTGTTCTGGTGTCTATAGCCTGTCCCTGCATGCCTTATAATGCAAACACGGCGGCACTGCAGCACTGGCGTTAGTTAACATGGCAGATCATATGGGTGGAGCATTGTGATGTCACATGGGGGGGGGGGCGGCAAACTTTACTTTTGCCTAGGGCGGCAAAAATCCTTGCACCGGCCCTGTGCCCAGCATTAATGTAGACCTTCCAAGTCAAATGACTTTCCAGTCCTCCATCAGGCAGTGCCACCTACATAGTGTTTGGAAAGGCGAAATGTGTAATTCTAGTTAGTACATGTTTAAATGTGCTTGCGCTACAACACTCGTGTCACAAACGGGGAGTGGGCTCCAACATGGAAAGATGGCAACTTACTCAAAATTAGATCTTGGCCTAGCACACTAGATATTTGCACATTATTGGATACATGCCTTCTGTATTTAAGTTTCCATGCTGGCTCAAAGGTGGTATCGGTAAAGGGTAGACATACTAGAAACTATTTGTGACCTCCACCTTGTGTTTTGGCCCACAACAGGGCCTTTGTCAAGCGTGACAAAGGCCCTGTTGTGGGCCAAAACATTGTTTCTATTTTGCTCCAATAAATCTGACCACTGGACTGTGCCTGGACCATCATTACTTTTTTGCAAATCACATTGTGAGGATTGGCCAACCTCAAGCCCGGTTGTACCTTGGGATCCAGGAGAGTGCGGTATCCATATTGGTAATTATATTGATACACTTCTACTTATGACCCAATACACCAGACTTCACAATTCCTTCTAAACGACTTAAGCTTCACTAACCATATTTTAATAAATTTTGTAGGGTTTGCTTTCCCTGTTTTGAATAATGAATATTATTTTTGTAGGGTTTGCTTTTCCTGTTCTGAATATGCAAAAAAGGAGGCATGATTATTCATCTGTGGATTATTGTCAATGTTTCTTTTGGATATTACACTGGAAGACAATGGTCTCCAATAGCAAAATAATCCACTATCTATGAAGCAATACAGGCATATGGTAAATTAGCCAGTTATGCCTCGTTTCCACTGAGCATTATGGTTCGGGTCGGTACGATCCAGAAGGGTTAGAATGGTCCAGCCTATTCAGGTGAACGTTTCCACTGCAAGTCGGACAGCCAGGGGGCATGCGGGATTTTGACCAAATGCCTAGCGTGTCATGTGTTGTGAGCATTAACGTTTTCCTGTCTGCCAATCAACTGATGTATGGTGTGATGGCAGTAGCTACGCCCTAACCGTACCGTACCATTTCCTAAGGACCTACATCTGAAGGGGGCCCTGGAATGGTATGGTTGGGTTCGGCTGTATGGGCCACTTTCATAATGGAAACACTCAAAATAGCATACCAGACCGTATCTGCCCGAACCGCTCAGTGGAAACGAGGCATTAGATTACATTGAAGATACACATAGAGACAACTCATGTGCAACATTTCATGCCTTGCAGAGGAGCTCTGGTTGGGTTCACAGCTTCAAACGAAGAATTCATGTTGTAAACCTTCTGACATCCCTTACATTCCTATACGATAAAATTAACATTGTTCATGCTGAAATTGGTCTTACCACCTCAACCGGGTAGCCAATTCATGTATGCATTACACAAGTCACATTAAGTAGTAATTAGTGATGTCGTGAACCGTTCGCGAACTTCCCGAGAACGGCTCGCCGCGAACTCCGGTCAGCTGACACACCCTGGCCAATCTCCAGCAGACTCTCCCTCCCAGACCCTCCCACCTCCTGGACAGCATCCATGTTGAAGCTGCCTTCAACATGGATGCTGTCCAGGAGGTGGGAGGGTCTGGGAGGGAGGGTCTGCTGGAGATTGGCCGGGATGTGTCAGCTGACCGGAGTTCGCCGCGAACGGTTTGTGGCGAACCGCGGCGAGACGTTTGCGGGAAGTTCGCAAACGGTCCGCGACATCACTAGTAGTAATATTCTATAGTGCAACAATGAATTATGAACGTATGAATTATTGGTGTGACACTCATAATAAAATAACTTCCATTTTAAACCCATATGCGAATGCAACAGCAGTCAGGTAGTCTATCATCATGGACGAGCATGTGTAAATAAAGCATCCCCTTGGACTATAAATGAGTTGGACTCATTTTTCTAGGACTGAGCATGTTGGAAGTGCAGTAATTAAATAGATAACATAAAGATTAGTGATGTCCCGAACTGTTCGCCACGGACTCATCATTGAGTAAACTTTGACCCTGTACCTCACAGTCAGCAGACACATTCCAGCCAATCAGCAGCAGACCCTTCCTCCCAGACCCTCCCACCTCCTAGACAGCTCACTAAGAATGCAGCTTCACAATGGATGCTATCCAGGAGGTGGGAGGGTCTAGGAGGGAGTGTCTGCTGCTGATTGGCTGGAATGTGTCTGCTGACTGTGAGGTACAGGGTCAAAGTTTACTCAATGATGAGTCCGCAGTGAACCGTTCGGCGAACAGTTCGGGACATCACTAATAAAGATAATTAAAAAAAAAGGTTGTGTTTCAGGACTCCTTCTTCATGATTTTGACAATTAGTAAATTGGTGAAACACTGCAACATTTTTAAAAATGCAGTCAGTAGTAAAGATTCCCAAAAGTAAGCATTAATGTGTTACTACAAGACCCATGACTACTACAGTGATCTGAAATGGCAATGGTACCATGACTCAGGGCAGGAGTCCTCAAACTCCGGCCCCCCAGATGTTGCTGAACTACAACTCCCATGATTCTTTGAATTGCATAAATAGCCAGAGAATCATGGGAGTTGTAGGTTAGCAACATCTGGGGGGCCAGAGTTTGAGGACCCCTGACTTGGAGTCTTTATGTGCAGCACTTCACTAATAACTGCTGCACATACAGAGTTTAACCGCTCCGCGGTTTGTGGCTCGCTATTATCAATTCGCGCATCCGCCCCTACTTAATGCCAGATGCGACTAAGGTTTTGGTCCATTCCACTGTCCTGTCTCACCTTCCACTGTCCTTTCTCTGTTCGTCCACCCATTGTAAAGCGCTGCGGAATTTGACGGCGCTCTATAAATATAATAATAATGCTGTGCATAGTTCTATGCACATACGTTCATTTATTACCTGAGAGTGGGCAGCGGACACTCTCCATCAATGAATGAGCAGCAGGATCGTCATCCGGTTTCTGCAGAACCCGCATGTTATAAACCTGCCTACACAGGAGCCTGGCTGAACCCAGATAAGAGGCCAAACAGTACCAAAATGGTCTGCCTTGTCACCACTAAATGGGACCAGGGTACTCCTTAAACCATAACCACTACAGAGGATTGTTGTGGTTATAATGATTGTAATGACCCTTTAAAACTGCTATTGGGCAAAACTAACCTGCTGTGTTTTGTAAAGCGCCAAGTCATAACAAAGATACTAATGAACACACAGAATGTATACTGGATAGATATGTGCATACAGTGTCCATATACATGTGGCCAGCCTGGTGTGCAGAGTGCCACAATAAAAGCAATGTAACCAGAATGTGCTGAATTCAGTACAAGGCACATGGCGGTGTTCTATAGGTGAGTGATATGATGACACATTCCTGATCGCCCTGGCAAGCACTCACATTCCTCCTCACTTCCTGCTTCTATTGCTTCCCTTCTTCCGGGATCGCGCCTTCATCACAGCTGTCAATCCACCAATTACACCGGTAGCCCCCCCTATAATCACAAATGCGCATGCGCGGTGAAGCTCGGCTGTTTCCGGAATTCCTCGGCTGCAGATTTCCGAGCTGTCAGGTGATGGAACGCACCGCCTGGCCATAGACGATGGAGAATGGGGACAACGAGACCTACAGCAACTCGAGGGGAGCGCGAGACCCCGAGTGGGCGGAGCCTCCAGCACTGCCTGCACGTGGTGGGCTTCCTGGTGAGGAGAGAGAATGTCTCTGAATGGTCCATGCTGTGCAATGCTCTGTGTACTGTATGTCTGTCTGTCTCTGTGCTGGGGGTTCTCACTGTGACAGTATGGGACATATATAGGGGTGTTATCTATTTTATATTTTTTACCAACTACTACAAAATGTTACATGGTAATGTTTTTCATTAACCACTGCAGTGGCTATAGTTCCGTGGTACTTAAAGTTGTAGTCCAAGGTTATATTTATTTCTGGTTATTTTTAACCTTGCACCAAAACCATCTCTGTCACGGACAATTTGCACCAAGGAAGCCATCAATATTGATGAAATCAGGGTCAATCCAGTTCTTCTGTGCACACATGGCCATCTGAATTTCTATGCATATTAAAGTGAGATATTTTCAAATAATAGTTCTGCTTGCCTTTCAGAAAGCCAGGCTGGAGAACTACTGTAAGAAAGAATGTGGTAACCAGATTTAGCCATCAGCTGCCCTGCATATGTTCTAGCTAGCTGTCACACAAATAACAGCAGTGATGACGTTTGCAGTTTTGCTTCCAGCAAGATGTAGAAACTACTCTAAACCTCTGTGTACACACTCGAGTGTTTTTTCCCCCCCACAATTTAAAGGGACGCTGTTGGCATGGTATTTGCTTCTTATTGAACTGGTTATAGTGTTTGGAATTCCCTGGTGCCATCCTTTCACTCAACGTTAAACAGTTTTTAAACTTTAAAGGGTTTCTCCAATGTTTTTTGGTAAGATATGGAATAATGCCCTATTGTCAATATTCTATATGTCCCCCTTAAAACTAATGCTCAAGGGGCATTTTAAAATAAGGTTTACTCACCTCAATCCAGCGCTAGACAAAACACAACAAAGCTGCTTGGCACACTCCCGTGTGACTGACATCACGGGAGCAGCAGCAAGGTCTCCTCCATAGACACAGTCAATTCACTGCTGCTGTCACCGTTGGCGGCTGTCAGGATTGACCCTTGGACTCCACCAAGTCAGGTGGAGAAGATATACAGAGACAAAGTAGTCCCTACTCTCTAATCTCTTAGCTGGGTTGGAATGTCAGTGAAATTCCAACACAGTGAAAATTAGTTTCATAAAGATTCTGTCTTTATGAAATACTCATTGTTTAAGGGAAGCGTGACAGGGCTACTTTAAAGGAGTGTCTCTCCTGAATAACATATAATCACTGAACTTTCTCTGAGTTAAGTTGGTGATTAGTGCTCCTGTCTAACTCAGTGGGAACTTCAATTTGGGGAAGCATTGGTTTGGCTGAAATCAGCAAGGAGGCGCAATTGGGGTGGGGCCAAACACCAGCTTAGCCAATCTGCACCTCCTCGTAGAGCTGCATTGAATCAATGCATCTGTATGAGGTAAATTCAGCCTCTCCATGTGGAGCATGAAGACTTTGAACGGCAGGATGCACCTCCAACAATGGCAATCTGAGAAGAAATGTCATGAAATACAACTTATTCAGACTTTTTGTTTTGGCTTGATGAGGGAGGATAAAACGAACAGTAGACTATATCGTTAGGAATACAGGTTTGTGTTCCTTTAAGTGATTCTATCAACATAAGTGTCTCATCTCATTCCACAGCTGCTTGCTAACACCTCTACGTCATACATGCTAGTCATAGTATGGCTGTGTGGTTGGCTCCATATACTGCAATTTTCCTAGGGAAAGAAATAATTTGAACTGGCCAGTCCAGCTCTGGAGAGCATTGAGTTTATGGGCCACCAACCTATGCTTGGGCTACAAAAAGCCTTGCACAATTCGTTCTTACTTCCTTACTCCTGTATTGCTCTGGTAACATCCTATCACACCGTCCCCTGCCTTCAATCAATAGAAAGCCCACAAACCATGTGTTCTAGTGGCTTAGGCTCAATTGCCCTCCTTCCCAGGAGCTACGTTGTGGAGTTGCACTTGGAATGGGGCTACTGAATTGAAAAAAAGTTGTTTTCTACTGATACATATATTTTACAACTGCCTGTATATCTTAATTAGCTTTTTTCACGTACATATTTTAAAATGTACACTTTAAATTTATAAAGTTTAAAGGTTGTAAAAAGTGGTGCATGACAAAGCTAACTTGCTGAGCTTGCAGTACAATTCTTTGCATGTCATTCTGAATAAAATCTGATACAATATACTTTACATGCCTGACCTTTGTGTGTAGGGCACTGTTGTATTTTTACTTTTGCTCTTTCAAACAACACAACTACCACAGTAAGATCAGGTACTGAATTTACATTCTATACTAACTAAGGTTGTGACAGTAATAGCCTTGTGCAATACTGTACACAGATCTAGAATTAGTTCACTCTAGTTTTCTACATGCATTAATATTGAAAAATCCTTAGAACATTTTATAAGCATGGTCCAAATAATTATTCTAACTTAGATCTCTGCATTTCATTAAATGTATTACACATTTAAAACATAAGAAGTTAAAATTTTATGACGGATGTCATTTAAAGCATCGCTCCAGGCACCATAACAACTTCATTAAAATAAGTTGTCATGATACCAGGAGGTCCGAAGGGGCTTTCTTACCTAAAAGAGTTTAAACTGTTGAGCGCTTAAACCGCACAGGTTGCTTCCAAATCTCCCACCAGCATCTAGCTCCTGAAATTGCAATTGAAATCAGGAGGCATGGAGTGCTGCCAGACAGGGGCACCTCTGATTGGCTATAGCTGTCAGCTGATGCCCTAAGCCAAACAGTAACTCCCAATTCAACTTACCGCTCTAGCCAATCAATGGTGCCCCTGCCCAGGAATAGAAGAAACCGTGCTGAAGGCATTCTTTCGGGTTAAACTGTTTGAGAATAGTTTAACTCCTTCAGGTAAGAAAGCGCACAACTTTGATAAAGTTGTTATGGTGCCCGAAGTGTTCCTTTAATCATGGTTCCTGAACCTTATTGCACTAAACATGCTAAGACACTGAATCCTCTTATTCTCAGCCATATCGTTGGCGTATTGAATTTCTTGCAAAATACATTAACTGGGAGAGAATATTAAATAAACAGAACTTTTTTTATAATTGATCTATTTTCCCAGCTAGGAGCAAGTGGAATCAAAACCCTTTATTACACCCTTTTAGCAAATTCATGATCTGCACAAACCTCAGTGTGAGAATAGCAAGTCTTACTGAAATTTGTCACCATTATTTTTCATTCTGAAGTATAAAAGTCAATTAGTCATTTTTTACTCCAGACCATTGATCTTTCTGTGGAGGTGGAAGTCTACTAGACATGTGTGTTTAAGGCATAGGAAACCAAAATTCAGATTGTCAGCAAGTGACTGGATTTGCCCTTGAGAATTGACAAAACATTGGGTTTGGGTGCACAGTTTTCAGCTTGGCATTCTTTGTAAGCTAAGGTTTTGTTTTGCAGTGATTTGTATTTTTATGAATTTATTTGTACCATATGTGCTATAGTAATATAGTAGTCTTTTATCAACTTATTCTAAATTTGATCATATCATTTTATTGTAGTGAGTCTTTGAATGTATCCTTTGTATGCAAATAGTTATTTAATGCAACTTTGTCTTAAAAAAACAGACTTTGAGTATTTCATTGGTTTTTCAATGCAATCTAATAAAGTAAGAACTATTTTGTCTTATGATCAATTCCCAGCTTTACAAAATCTGACAAAAGGTGATGGCTGGTTGCAGTGGTGTATTTTGGATTTGTGCTGCTTTAGGCATGACTAAACTTTGGCACCCACCTAAAATTATTTAAAAGACACCTTTTCCTGTTAAGACCACATCACAATGTTTTGACTGACAGGCATATGCACTGACATACTCACTGACAAATACACACTTTCACTGACACACACTCTGCTACACATACAATGACAGACACACACATCCTCACTGATTTGACACACTCTGACAGACACACATTTACTCATAGATGCAGACTGATAGCGACACTCACACTCATCGATAGACACACACACTCAATGACAAACCCTCACTTTTTCAAACTCTCGAGTTGGTTTGTAAATGATAGTTGTACTCTCTTATGTGTGAGTTCAGCACTGATGCACTTCAGGACAGATACATCTCTAGAAGAAGAATAAAGATAGTGAGGGAGAGCTACAGGTAAGTATATCTCCCTTCAGTTGCACCCTCAGGCCGCCCACACATGGATGTCCTTTTTTTGAGCCTTAAAGGCAACAAAGTAACTTAAAAAAAAAAATTTGTCTGCCTTGAAATTGTGTTTTTTTTTTAATGTAACACCTATAGTGCCTATACATTGTAGCAAATGTGTATAACATTAGTGTTTTTTCTTTGTAGGATTTATTTGGTGTGAGCATGATTGTGCCATTGTTAAATCATCATGTGAAGTCACTTGGGGCAAGCCCTACCACAGCCGGAATAATCGGTAAGAGAGATGGTGAGCCATAGCTATACCTCATAAGGCGGGAGAGCGATATTTTTTAAAATGATAATAAAATAAAATGACACATGGGTGGTTTCAATCAATAAGCAGTTAAACATCCTAGTCTCTGGTGAAATGTAATCTGAGTTTCCACACTTTCATGGCAATGGGTTTTGGTACATATTGTGGGAGATGTCCTAATGTATCCGAGTCGTTTGGAAATACCACCTGCCAAAAACCAGTTTTATAGAACAGGAGATGGGGGGGAAAAAAAACTACAGCCACGCAAGCCATCGGGTGAAATGGCCCACTGTGAAAATCCTCATGACACAGTATGCTAGTTTAGCTCCTTGTGGGAAGCTTAATTTAATAACAATATTATACCTACTGTGACCACAGCTCTCTGTCTCAGAGAATTTAAAGCATTTTGTTTCATGGTTTTCTTCATATCTATTTTGTTTTGAAGATTTTGTATGTAAGAAACTGAAGAATCCTTTTTAGCATGCTGTATTCCCTATATAATGTGTTGAATATTTACTTTGTGTCCATTATTACTAATACAGTATAAACACCTGGCCTAAGACTTCTTAACCTGCCTTATTGACTCTGATTTGTATTAGAGTAGTTGGGTAGTTTAATTCAACTAATTAGTTGCACTAGAAATTATGGGGGGAATTATAAAAGTGATCTAAAGAATGAAAAGTCGAACAGTCAGTATGGAGCCAGCAGTATCATGAGGCACAATCCATAGTGACAGCTTCCTTTTTACTTTATTGCACTTTATTAAATCTTCTGATCTTCTCCAACGTATCAAGTTGGAATATTTGGCAACCGGCTTAATCACACGATGTTACTGGTACAAGTATGCTGATGTGTATGAATATTGAATGTTCTTCATGTTTCTAAACTGACATCATTATTTACTGCAACTAGGAACACAGAAAAACTAGCTAACAGAAAAAAATATATTGTATTTTATAATCTGATATTAACCAAAGTTTCGTTTGTGGTTTTTGCCAGTATTGTTTTTGTTCCTGTGTGTATATTTATATACTTTTGTCTTGTAGGCTCCTGCTATGGCATGTTTCAGCTATTTTCTAGCTCACTTGTGGTAAGATACAGTCTAACTACACTTCACAATGACCGCTTTAGTAAGATATGAATGACAATAAAGTCAGGATAATAGTAGCATTGTAATAATTTATTTAGTTAAACTCTTCTTTGATTAGGGCAGGGCTTGACAAATTTGTTTAGAATCTAGGAGCAGGCTAAAAAAGTTAGAAGCCAGTTTTAAAAAAAACTTATTTTAAGTTTAATTTTCAACAAGAAAAATGCAATTCTTAAGGGACACTATAGACACCAGAACCACTACAGCTGAATGTAGTTTTCTGGTGTCTATAGCCTGTACCTGCAGACCCTTTCAATATAAATACTGAGTATCAGAGAAAAGGCAATGTTTACATTGCTGCCTAGTAAGTCACTAAGATGGCCGTTAAAGAGTCATTGGTCAGTGCAGCACCTACGTTCAGTGTCCTATGTTCAGTGCAGAACCTACATTCAGCATTTCTATGAGATGTTGATTGGCACATTGTTTTGCTGCGAATGCACAATATCGTCCCTGAGCTGAGATCATAAACACTGATTATACTAGCCATGGCAAAACTGGCACGGCGTGGGGAAAAAGGGGAGTAAAAACACCTTTATCGTGTGATTGGAGGGAGGCAGGTACCTAAAGAGACGCACGCACTCTCTGACTGACAGACCTCCCCATTGTATGTTGTCAAACCATTTTAAAAGGCTTTGACTTCTTACCTGGGGTCCTCCAGGTGCCGCTCCACTCTTTCATTACTAACGACAGAGTGTTGGAAGCTATTTAGCAGGAGCTTCCACTAGTTCTCCTGCGGTAACATCTGAGTGTAAAGCTAGCTGATAAGAGCATCAGCTAACTGCTTTCAGTCAGTGAGCTAAACCTTGCACTTCTATGTCGTTCGTAGTGGAGGCGGGATTGGCATCTGGAGGAACCCTTTGAAGGAACACTTCACACACTATAATCCATACACAGTCAGGAGGGCGCTGGTACCTCCCTCCCCTTAGAATGCTTTGACTTCTAACGTGGGGTTTGCCCAACACCGTTCCTTATCAGTCGCCAGGAATAAGGCTTCCATCAGAGGAGTACAATCCATACACTGCCCCAAACAGTTGTTACTATATAGTAAGAATTATGTGGTCTCTTCCTGACTTCTACATGACAAAAACTATAACTTTCTACATGGCTGAGCAGCATGAGGGCTAATGGCATCCCTAGCAAGGAGAGCCTGAAGCTTCTAAAACAGTTTGACTAATTACCTTGGTGGGGCAGGACTTCCCTGGCACCATAACCACTTCAATGCACTGCAGTGATTATCGTGCTTAGACTGTTTCTTTACCTTTAAAAAAAAAAAAAAAATTATTTTTTTTATAAGCCGTATACCAGCTTGCTGATCCTAAACAATGTGTAGTGCTCTTCTTTGCCCCCTGAAAACGTATCATTCTGTCATTGCTGATTTGAACTTCCAGCAGGGAGTGTGTGTTTTTACTTTGAGATATTCTGAAGATAATTTTGTAGTTGTTAATGTTTGCTTTGAAAATCATACCAAAAAAAGTATTTGTGCTCTTTTGCAGGGGAGTTGGAGTGATGTTGTTGGAAGAAGATATTCTTTAATGACTTGCATTGTCATCAGTGCACTCGGATATGCTCTTCTTGGTGTATCCACTAACATTTATATTTATGCCTTGGCTAGAATACCTGTGGGTAAGTAATTTGACATTTGTGTGTCATTTAATCTTTGTTGCAGTTTTTACATCACTGTGAAGAAAAAAAAATAATGCTTAAAGGACCATTATAGGAACCCAGACCACTTCAGCTCAACGAGTCTCGGTGCTAGGTCCCCCTAGTTTTAACCTTGCAGCTGAAAACATAGCAGTTTCAAAGAACTGTTACCGCAATTAACACTGAGTAAATCGCACTTATCTGACCCTGGACATCCTCACAGAGTCCAGGGTCTAATAAGATCCCCATAGGAAAACACTGAGTAATGCCTTTCTATGGGCGGGTCTGAATGCGGCGCGCACCTCTGGCCGCGCATGCACATTCTGCTCCACTCAGGAGCTGATGTAGACTGGGGAGGAGAGGTCGCCAGGTAAGGTAAGTGCCGAGGGGGGGCTATAGTGCCAGGAAAGCTTTTTTTTTTTTTTTTTTTTTTTTTTTTGGGGGCACTATAGGATCTCTTTAACTATATGACATATCCAGCAACTATCATGACAAATTTAATGAAATGTGCACCTTAAAGTGACACTTCAGGTTGAAAACCGTTTTAATGCAAATGATGCATTACGCCTCCTCCTCCCCCCAAAGAAATGCACTTTTTGTTTTTTCTTACTGAGAAAAACCTTTTATCTGCAGGCTTTCATTCTGACCAGCTGCTCCATAAGTGCTTGTTGTGTTAGTTCTATTAAAGAAAGGGTCCTCAAACTCCGGCCCCCCAGATGTTGCTGAACAACAACATGATTCTCTGGCTATCTATGTAATTCAAAGAGTCATGGGAGTTGTAGTTCAGCAACATCTGGGGGGCCGGAGTTTGAGGACCCCTGTATTAAAATGTCCAACTAGCATGAAACATGATTCTTCTAGACTATCGGTGCTGCGGGCTATTCATTTCCTGCATACCATTGCACATTCTTCCCACAGAGTTCTGTCTGGAATCGTATGCCCCCTCTCTTGCTCTGATAAGTGCAAGGTGGTACTGCAGCCTGCATGCCCTAACTCTGGGGCTGCTTAGGCCTCACACAGTCCTGAACAGCAGCTGTATACCTGTTGGAGTATTTACTAAGAATGGGAAGTGGATGTAATATCCTAAACGTCTACAATGTCCACTCCAGCAGGCTATGGATACACGATTTAGAGCCTGCATAATAATCAATGGAATCTGAATTTGGAGGACATTTTAGGTGGGCAATTCATGAAAGTAATTTCTGTTCAGTGAGAAAATGTGCAAATAAATTACAGAAAGACAGACTGACAGGTAGTTTATACTTAATGTTAATGTGTGTCTGCTTGCCTCACTTCTCCCTCTCTTGAAGGCTGTTTGGCTTCTACTAGTTTATCTCAGTCACTGCTCTCAGTTGCTAGTCTCCGTACATACTGCGAGTGGAACCAAGCAGGAAGATATTTTCTGAAAGGGGGAGACATGGATAGAGGGGTGGGGTTATGGTGCAGAAAGTAACAACTTTTTTTGTTTGTAAAAAAAAATTAAAAAACACAGGCTGGTCGTAAGGTTGACCTTAAAGTACTGTTGATGTCTGGAGTGTCACTCTAACTATATGCTTACATGAGTCCATGTGCTAGTGAGACTTGGCAGGATTTTGTGAGGCTTCTTCACTAAGCCATGAAATGTGGTGAACTGAAAACGTAATCTCAAAATTTAGACCAAAATAGCTGATTTGGTAATATTATCCAATTTCAAAATAGTCACAATTTGGCTATTTTAGGCTTTATTTTGCAATTTGGTTACTCTGCTTTGCTATCAACTACAAATTGGTAGGTATTTAGCAAAGTAACCCTTGTGAGATTAAAACATAACCTAGCTTCAAACTCCTTTATACTTAAGACACTGCTTGCAGGCATACCTCTGGCAAATTTATCCTCAAGTGAGACATATTTTCCTTCTATGTTATTTCTAACACCTCTAGACATGTGGTTCTTAAGCCTGTAAGGAGGATTGTTTAAATGCCATGAGGTTAGTGTAATGGATCTCAGTTTAATCATATCCATGTCGACTCGATTGAATTTGAGGTTTTTTTTGTTGTTGTTTTAGATTCAGCCTTTTGTATTATACACCTAATATACTGCTCTACATGTTTATGGCTATAGTACTGGCAGTTACATAGTTAAAGAAGCACTTTGAACACAATAACCACTACTGCTCATTGTGTCCTCGCATTTAAGTAGTAAAACTGTTTTGCGAATGGACATTCCTTGCTTCACTGATGGGTGCCTGTCAGGACCCAGGTAAACTGTCTAACCATTTGCAAACGATTTGACAATGTACCGTAATAGGGTCCCAGGCCCCTCCTGGCACCATAACCACTACAGGGCGCTGTAGTGGTTGTGGTGCTCGGAGTGTTCGTTTAAAGATAAACTTTCCACTATTTTTAATCTATGACTCCCAGCCACAAGCACAGCAGATGACCTTCCTTTGTTTATGAAAGTTGTGGTCTAGTAGCAACTATCCTCTTTGAAGAATAGGAAGAGCTGTAAATTCATAGTCCCATCTCCAGATCTTCCACAGAAAGAGAGAACAGGTATGCAATATATTATCATAAGCTAAACTAAATGAAAATCAATGTTATTCTCATTCTCAGGAATTTTTAAACACTCACTTTCCATTTCGAAAGCATTCCTCTCAGACCTGGTGACAGAAGAAGAGCGTCCAATAGTAATGGGGAGGTTTAATGCTGCTTCCAGTCTGGGGTTTATCTTGGGACCAGTGGTTGGTGGAAGCCTTACAGAACTACCTGGCGGTTTTTACATTACTTCATTCCTATGCTCTTCTATATTTATTATAAATGCAGGTATGCTGTCTAGAACTGTAGAACTCTAGAATATAGATTGTTTTAGGTTATTTATTTATAGAAAGCCAATAAATAAAAAAAAACATTGCATCATACTTGTAACATTTCAGAACAGGATATTGCCCCTTGCCAATCATCATTGCACATGCTGTACTTTTCTTCCACTGAATATAGTGAAAGAGGAAAATCAGCAGTAACCTTTCTACACGTCTCCTCATTTACATTATGTGCCTCGGCTGTGCCTGGGCTGAACTCAATAGTGATGTCATTTACTGCATCTTTAATATTATTGTAGAATACATGACCTGAAAAGGTTAAGACGAAATCTAAGTGTTTTTTTTTTTTTAATGCTTTACTCAACGGTGTAAATTCTAGAGAAGTGATAGTCTCCCTTTATCTTGTTCAATGAGGGCACATGTGAATATTTAATGATTGCTAACATATTTCTGCATATATGAGTCATATAATAACTTTTTATAATAATTTTTAATATCTACAGGTCTTGTCTGGCTACTGCCATGGTATGAAGACAAACCAAGCTGTGTTGCCCCATTCCCTAATGAATCTTCATTTAATGGGATAACGGATACCTCTGCACTGAAATCTGATCTCACATTACATACATACCAAATGGAAAATCAGATTATAAAAAAACATAAAAAACAGACTTTTTGGACTCAGGTTGTTTCAGCATTCAGGAAAGTAGCAGGTGTTGCTTTTTCTCATATGTGGGAGATATTTTTGGTCCGTTTGTTAAGTGCTATTGCTGTCATGCTGTATTATAGCAATTTTGCCTTGGCAATGGAAGAAAGATTTCATATGACTCCACGTATGACAGGCTATTTAATAAGTTATGGCAGCACCCTGGGTGTCCTTGCTGGATTTTTACTTGGACCCCTTTCCAGGATTTACAAGCACAATTCATACATTATGTTGTTACATTCAAACATTCTCACATTTTTTTCAATACTGGTGTATTCACTGGCACCAAAGATGTGGATAGTCGTCCTGGCTTTAACACTTTTGGCATTTTCAACCAATATAGGAAGAACTTGTATAGTTGATCTTGAACTGACCCAAGGTGTAAAACATGGAAGTGGTACACTTATTGGAGTTGGACAATCTGTAACATCAGTGGGGCGCATACTTGTCCCTCTGTGGTCAGGAATTGCTCAAGAATATAGTCCTTGCGGACCTCCACAGCTTGGTGCAGTATTGTCGTTAGCATCCATATTTCTAATGTATAAAAGTAAATTATGCTACAGTGGATCAGCGCAGACTAAAGTAAAAAGTGCATGAAAAGATTCAAAAACAAGTTTTGAACACAGGTAACGAAAATCTATTAAATCCCTGACATGCGGATACACTGAAAAGAAGTACATCGTAAAAGCATTCTGCCTTTTCTAGGTGCCAATAGAAATTATTACTTGCATTTAAATTAAGAACTTAAAGCACCTCTGTCATCTTCTGGAGTTTTTGCATACTTTTAAAGACCCCCAAAGGTGGCATCACTTCTTTAGTGGCCCAGGCATGCTGTGAAGGTAAGATGTACTTACCTGATGCTGTTCCCAGCAGGCATCGCTATCTTCAGCTCCTGGCTTTTATCCATCAGGAGCCAACATTAGTGCTTTACTCTTGCACATGTGAGTACAACACTTATGTCTATGAAGGAATTCTACACATGAGAGCATAAAAACACAGGCGCCTCCATAGATATTGTTGCTTTATTCCCACAGTTGTCACTAGCGACTACTGTGGGAGGTAACAAAACTTGACGGCAGTAACTCCGCCTTCTGTCAGTATTTGTCAACTTGAGGATGTGCCATAAGACAAAGTGGTATTCTCTACATTGCCTTATGATATCTTGACTGCACTGAAATTTCAGTGGAATTCCAATACATTCTTTGTGAGTAGTGATGTCGCGAACCATCCGCGAACTTGCCGCGAACCCCGGTCAGCTGACACATCCCTGCCAATCTCCGGCAGACCCTCCCTCCCAGACCCTCCTACTTTCTGGACAGCATCCATGTTGAAGCTGCCTTCAACATGGATGCTGTCCAGGAGGTGGGAGGGTCTGGGAGGGAGGGTCTGCCGGAGATTGGCAGGGATGTGTCAGCTGACCGGAGTTCGCCGCGAACCGTTCGCGGCAAGTTCGCGGACGGTTCGCGACATCACTATTTGTGAGCATTCCATAAAGATTTTATATTTATGAAATGCCCACTTTTTTTGTGACAGAGCTGCTTTAAAACTAAATATTTATTGGTATCAGTTTCTAAGTAATAAGTGTGTAAATGTATTTGAAATGGGCACTACTACGGCTTAATGTATCGTGATGGTGTAGTGACCTTATGAAATGTTTTTTCAGTACCTAGTTGCTCTTTCACAGAGAATTAAAGATTTTACAACCGGTGTTAGAAGCTGTCTGCCTAAATCAGGGAGAAAAGGTGATTTATTTGGGTATCAAAACTGTTGCTTGAAAGAACCCTCTAAGGTTATGAATAAACATATTTATTTATAACATTAGAGTGTTTTTATTTCACCTTAAAGGGTTACTCCAACCACCATGGTCACTTCAGTGATAGGAGTCTGGACTTGTATGCAATGGGTTAGTTACATCCTTGGCACACATGGCGCCTGCAAAAGGAAGCTTGCTGTTCCCTCTGTGTGGTCCATCTGCCTTCTTCCACTACTTGAACTGTAATATATATCTATCTATATCTATCTCTCATCTCTCATTTTTTTTAAATTTTATTTTTATTGAAAATCTTTCTCTCATCCTTCCGGCAAAATGGTCCAATCACATGCCTTTCTGTAAGATGCCTGTGATTAGACCACACAAGTGCCGATGTCAAATGGAGGATGGATATCGCACCGGGAGCTTTGCCCAGGGCTGCATAACAGGTAAGTTTAAATGTTATTTATTTGGTTTAAAGGGGGCTATTAGCAATGTCCATTCCAAAAATAAAGTGTCAAAAAGGGTTGGAGTAACACGTTAAATATTTTTAATATATCTACGAAACTCTACAGGGAGTGCAGAATTATTAGGCAAGTTGTATTTTTGAGGATTAATTTTATTATTGAACAACAACCATGTTCTCAATGAACCCAAAAAACTCATTAATATCAAAGCTGAATATTTTTGGAAGTAGTTTTTAGTTTGTTTTTAGTTATAGCTATGTTAGGGGGATATCTGTGTGTGCAGGTGACTATTACTGTGCATAATTATTAGGCAACTTAACAAAAAACAAATATATACCCATTTCAATTATTTATTATTACCAGTGAAACCAATATAACATCTCAACATTCACAAATATACATTTCTGACATTCAAAAACAAAACAAAAACAAATCAGTGACCAATATAGCCACCTTTCTTTGCAAGGACACTCAAAAGCCTGCCATCCATGGATTCTGTCAGTGTTTTGATCTGTTCACCATCAACATTGCGTGCAGCAGCAACCACAGCCTCCCAGACACTGTTCAGAGAGGTGTACTGTTTTCCCTCCTTGTAAATCTCACATTTGATGATGGACCACAGGTTCTCAATGGGGTTCAGATCAGGTGAACAAGGAGGCCATGTCATTAGATTTCCTTCTTTTATACCCTTTCTTGCCAGCCACGCTGTGGAGTACTTGGACGCGTGTGATGGAGAATTGTCCTGCATGAAAATCATGTTTTTCTTGAAGGATGCAGACTTCTTCCTGTACCACTGCTTGAAGAAGGTGTCTTCCAGGAACTGGCAGTAGGACTGGGAGTTGAGCTTGACTCCATCCTCAACCCGAAAAGGCCCCACAAGCTCATCTTTGATGATACCAGCCCAAACCAGTACTCCACCTCCACCTTGCTGGCGTCTGAGTCGGACTGGAGCTCTCTGCCCTTTACCAATCCAGCCACGGGCCCATCCATCTGGCCCATCAAGACTCACTCTCATTTCATCAGTCCATAAAACCTTAGAAAAATCAGTCTTGAGATATTTCTTGGCCCAGTCTTGACGTTTCAGCTTGTGTGTCTTGTTCAGTGGTGGTCGTCTTTCAGCCTTTCTTACCTTGGCCATGTCTCTGAGTATTGCACACCTTGTGCTTTTGGGCACTCCAGTGATGTTGCAGCTCTGAAATATGGCCAAACTGGTGGCAAGTGGCATCGTGGCAGCTGCACGCTTGACTTTTCTCAGTTCATGGGCAGTTATTTTGCGCCTTGGTTTTTCCACACGCTTCTTGCGACCCTGTTGACTATTTTGAATGAAACGCTTGATTGTTCGATGATCACGCTTCAGAAGCTTTGCAATTTTAAGAGTGCTGCATCCCTCTGCAAGATATCTCACTATTTTTGACTTTTCTGAGCCTGTCAAGTCCTTCTTTTGACCCATTTTGCCAAAGGAAAGGAAGTTGCCTAATAATTATGCACACCTGATATAGGGTGTTGATGTCATTAGACCACACCCCTTCTCATTACAGAGATGCACATCACCTAATATGCTTAATTGGTAGTAGGCTTTCGAGCCTATACAGCTTGGAGTAAGACAACATGCATAAAGAGGATGATGTGGTCAAAATACTCATTTGCCTAATAATTCTGCACTCCCTGTACATCAAGTCTATGTTGTCTGTCATGAATGAGTTAATTTATATTGTTAGAGAATATGAAGTTATGATGTGGGCATTAAAAGTATATTTATTGTGAACAACTTCATTGTTGTTTTATTACTGTGGCCACTAACGTGTATGTTGCACATATGTTGATGTATTAATGAGGTGATGAAAACCATGTTTAAACTAGTATGTATATTTTTTTATAATAGTAGCTTTAGCACTTACATTAGGAGCAACATAAAAATGTGCTGTATTTGTTGAAATATGTGGAAAACCATTTTTATAACTGTAAATATGGGCAGTGATTTTGTAGGAAATAGATTTTAGCAGTGTTACTTTATTTACCAAATGCACAGCATCCTCAAATCGTGAGATGATTAAGAATGGTGGGAGAGTGTTGGGTTATCGGAACAACAAAGTGTCTCATGCTTAATGATTTTGTTGTTTTTTAATAATGTAGCATCACAAATTTACTGTACATCTGGGATCTGTTTACCATGAGGCATACAACAGCCGTGACATAAATGTATCATGTTTATTCATTTATGTGTGTTTGTTTTTTTTTCCTATTTAAATAGAGATTGTGTACCTGCTGCCCTCTCTGCAGTGGATATAGGGGGTGAGCAAAGGGCTAGTAATTCCTGGGTGCAGTTTGTTTTGTTTTTTTGGGGGGCAGGGGGGAGAGGTTTGGGGTAAGCATGCATGGGGATGACAATTATTCATGCCTTTTGCATGACTCTTGTTTTTTGGTGTACTAATTTTTTTTTGGCCCCACCCATTTCCTTAGGGCTGGTGCAAGGATATTTAGCTACACAGGCAAAAATGCATTTTGGCCGCCTGTGATGCCTTTTGGTAGCGCAAGTCCTGCTTTTCCTACCACTGGCTGATAATTATTAGAAATGGCAGTCCACGCACACATTTTCAATTATGGTCGCTAGAAATGATCATTTTATAGTACTGCAGTTACCTTTGGACCACATTCCCCATAATGCCAAATCTGGGAAAGTCACACAAATTGAACGCACAAGCAATGTCTAACTGTGGTATGGCAAATGTTTGTGATGTAATTTTACCATAATGTTCAGCCAGCCTATTGGTTGACTGAGCATCATGGGAATGTAGTACACAAACATATCCATAAACATGTGCATAGTTAAAGGGACACTCCACTACCAAAATACAAAATAAATAACCACTGTTTAGTAGATATACCCAAATTGAACACCTGCATGCATTAAATTATGCATTTTTTTTTCATTGAAGTTATATATAAAATCATTTTGTAAAAGCTATAGATCTCTTGTCTGCAGCCTTTACAAGCCCTCTTATTCTAACCCCATCCAGGCTTTGTGACTCTCCAATCACAGACTTCCCAATGCAGCTCAATGAGAAGTTTTTGCAAAGCAAGTGCTCTGAGCCAGTGTTTCCCAACCCAGTCCTCAAGGCACACCTACCAGTCCAGGATTTAGGGATTACCCAGTTGTGTCTAAGGTGTTTTTACAAAGAAGAAAAAAAACACCTTAGACACAACTGGGTAATCCCTAAATCCTGGACTGGTAGGTGTGCCTTGAGGACTGGGTTGGGAAACACTGCTCTGAGCAACTGTTTGCCTCTTGAGTTCATTGCAAATAATCTAACTTAAACCAGGAAATAACAGGACCTGACTTTCAGCTAGGTAAAGTGCTTTGGCGGACTTGAGTGTCCCTTTAATGCTGTTTATTTTATTTACTAAACACCAAATTTTATTGAAATAGAAATTGAGTTGCAAACTCTAGGCACAGGTGCTGATTTGGAAAAACAAATCTCCTTTAATTCAATGAATCTCTGCGGGGTGTGTTCAGCAACTCCATGCACAGCATAGAGCTGATGAAGGTAGGTTCTGCAAAGATTACTGAGCTGAAAATACAGTAGAGCCTCTAGTGTTTATCAGAGTGATGGTTCCTAGAAATGTTACTATGAAACAATGTAAACGCTGCCTGTTTTCTAAAAACGCATCGGAAATGTTATAAATGTCAGGGACTGACTGGACAGCAGAACATTAAAGGAGCACTATAGGGTCAGGAACACAAACATGTATTCCTGACCCTATAGGGTTAAAACCACCATCTAGCCACCCTGGTCCCCTCATGCCTCTAAAAATATAGTAAAATCTTACTTGAATTCAAGCTTGCAGCTGCATAGTTTGTCCCTGTTTCTTTTAGACCTACTCACTGCCAGCTGACATCAGCAGAAGTGGTGGCCTGATCCAATCACAATGCTTCCCCATAGGATTGGCTGAGACTGACAAGGAGGCAGATCAGGGGCAGAGCCAGCATGATTCAAACAGACCTGGCCAATCAGCATCTCCTCCTAGAGATGAATTGAATCAATGAATCTCTAGGAGGAAAGTTCAGTGTCTGCATACAGAGGGAGTAGACACTGAATGTTTGGATGCATTTTAGGCAGCCATGACCCAGGAAGGATCTCTAACAGCCATCTGAGGAGTGGCCAGTGAAGTTATCACTAGGCTGTAATGTAAACACTGCATTTTCTCTGAAAATACAGTGTTTCTGGCAAAAAGCCTGAAGGTAATGATTCTACTCACCAGAACAAATTCAATAAGCTGCTGTAGTTCTGGTGACTATAGTGTACATTTAAGCTAGTGATTTTGGTGACTACAGTGTTCTTTTAATTTGTTACAAAAAATAACTTTGTATACGTTTAGTTTATGATCCGTGAATGGTAGACAAAGTAACATCAATGTGCAACGCTGTAAATCTAAATCAGGAAAAAAGAAACGCTGTATGTATGATGTAACAATGTGTTATAGCACATTCTAAACACCTTTTAAAATTAACTAGATGTTTTGTATATCTGTAAAAATGTTCTCAGAACTGTGATCGTTTTCCCATTAAAACTGTCACTTGTAGAGTACATAATATTAGCTGTATTTTATTTATATAGTGATAGAATAGTTAATGGGTAATTCAGCCTCTGGAAATCTTTGCTCCATTATTTCTATGATGTGCATTTACTTACAGGAAAAACACTTTTTTTATAATGTGGACATAAAAATTAGTGAGTTATTCTGGTTGCTTTTTTTATAATTAGTTGTTTTTGTACCCAGGAGACCCCAAGAAAGAACTAAAACCATTAAAAACTGTTTGACTACTTTCATTGAGGCGATGCTAGGACACTCCTGGCAGCATAACTACTACAGCATGCTGTAGTAGTTATGGTACTATGAGTGTTCCCTTAATCTATATAATAAAGTTGTAAGTAATGCACCTAAACAACTGAAACCATGTATTTAACTACAATGTCCACTAGATGGTGCAACAACACTTACTTTGCACTGCAAAATGTTCTAAATCACACATCAGATTTCTGTGTACAGAAAGAAAAATCTATAAATATATAAGCACCACATCAAATGATGGACCAGAAATACAAGAATACAAGTTTGTCTATCACCATATGAGGCAGTGCTAGCTAAATAAATTGATCAATGTAGTAAAAAATAGAAAAATGCAAAGGTCCACTGTATTATGAGTAGACAAAAGAAAGTTAAACTGTAGATTTGCAAAACTATTGGAAAGACACAAACATTACAGTCGAGCTCTCAATGAGCAATCATTTGGTCCCAGAGATTATATTTGTCTAACCTATGAGTAACATGCAGTTCCCTGTTTAAATGTATGCAGAACTGTAGCTTTTACAAGATGTTTTTTATATATCTGCAATAAAAAAAAATAGATAAATGCATGAGTGTTTTCATTGGGTGTTTACTAAACAGTTGGTACTATAACAAGTACACTGTAAAGACTAGATTGGCTCTAAACAACATACATTCAGGGTTGCATGTTGAACTAATCTGTGAACAACTGATCTGTTACATGGTCTCCTTTCTGGTTTTAGTATACCCACAGATGCCTTGTGAGTCTGCTTTTTATCTTATTCCATTTTTATCTGCTGTATATACTGTACACTCAAGTTCTTGTTCCTCTTTTTTTGTTTTGATCAACTACAATGTGTGATTTATATACAACAAGACCGGATCCAATATACAATTACATTTCCAGAGAAAAGCATAAAATGATGTTCCTAGCTTTAAATTTGCACTGGCCTACCAGGGCTGTCATGGTAGCAAGGGAGGGAGTTGCCTAAATCTGAAAACGTTCTGAAGAGTTTAAATAAATACTGTAGATTTATTCAAATGGTTATGGCAGCTGCCAGGAAGACTATCCTTCATACCTGGATCTCTCCATAAAAAAAACAGCATAGCATTGTGCCAATCTAAATTATCGTATATGTTTAAGGGTTGAGGCCACTCAATATAGAGAACTTAAAGCTTATGAATAAATTTGTATTTATTTTTTTACTACTAGGATCCCTACATCACTTAGAATTCTCTCTGAACTCTCAACAATTCCTACTTCAGTAAATGACCCTGAGTGAGTTATTATCTAAGCTTAATTAATTAAAATCATCAAATTTTTAGCTGAGATACATTCTGTTGCAAATCTGTGTACTCCACAACATATAGACATGCAATTTTTATTATATATATTTTTTTTGTAATAGGTTTATCTATCTTGAGACATCTACCCTTTACTCACAGTTTAGCAATACAAACCTTTAGAATTCGCTATATAGAAGTATTTGGCGCTATGTAAATATAATAATATGCTCTGTGGAGAGCATGGAATAGTGTTGAACCACTAGCGCAAAATGTTTTTGATTTGAGGCACAATCAGGCATGGAGATATTGCAAGAGCAATGTACCATTTAAATGTTGCTCACACCCTCTTTATAATTGTGCTCATGTTCAACAAATCACATTCATCTAACACGGTTATATAAAGCTATTATTTTACTTTGTGGCCTGATATAACCTAACCTACATTTTACTGCAAAGTTGCCCGAGGCTTGAAACATAGCGCTATGATTACTTTATTCTTTATTCTCCTTACTTGCATTATTTGTCCAGCTAACTCTTCACTTTTCTGTTTTTTGTTTGTAGACTGACTAAATGGTCAAGGTATATTAACCTCTGCTCTGTGAACACTGCTTTAAATTCCTGAAATTTTAATATGGGCTTATACCTCTATATACTGTACTAACAGACATCACAGTTTTGGGAAAGATTTACTCTAGATAATGGAACATTGCGTTTGAGGATTTACTTCTGTTAAGTATTAAGAGACTTAAATAATTTCAGTATTGATGTTGGGTTGATTTGCACTCTTAATCCGCGTGAAAAGTACTGAGATCAGAACTCTAGTCAAGTGCACACAGATCTTGACAAAACATTTCTGTATGGACCTTGCACTGTGCATGTAGAGCCATCCACTTGTTGAAATAGGAAAGGCCCATATTTAACTGCTGTCACAAATTTAAGAGCAGACTTTGTTCATTTGAACTACATGGCCTAGCCGTAGGCATGAAAAAACTCCAGACCATTACTTCTCCAAACAACTTTAAAGGGACACTGTAGGCACCCAGACCACTTCAGCCCAGTGCCATCACCCTTAACCCTGGAAGTGTAATTATTGCAGTTTTTATAAACCGCAATCATTACCTTGCAGGATTAAGTCCTCCTCTAGTGGCTGTCTACCAGACATCCACTAAAGGAACTTCCGGCTTCTTCGATGACTTTTGGTTGTCTAAATGACACTGGGCGTCCTCACGCTATGCATGAGGACCTCCAGCGTCGCTGGAATCCCAAAAAGAAAGCATTGATGCGCATGTGCGTTAGGTCTGCCCTGCGGAGGAGGAGCGTGGGCGGAGCCTAACCCAGCGCCAATTTACATTGATGCTGGATTCTGGTAAGAGTCTGAAGGGGTTTTAACCCCTTCAACGACTTGGGATGGGGGCACTCCAAGATTCTACAGTGCCAGGAAAACGGGTTTGTTTTCCTTGCACTAGAGAATCCCTTTAATGCTGGCACTATAGGCAGTCAGACAGGTAGTGATCTGTTGACATTAAAAAGAAAAATGTGCTTGCTGCTTCCAGTGAAATTAAAGCCACAAAAAGAATAAGGATCATGCCAAACATTGTCCCAAACTAAGTGAAAAAGAAATGTTTAAAGTGTATACGGAAATCTTCTGGTGGCAGTCTGCTAACTATTTAAGCCCCCTACTGAATCCTCAGCAAAGTTGTTTAATTTGAATCAAACTATAGCCTACCCAAGCATTTGAGGAAGAGCATACTTGACCCACACATCCGTGGTCCGTGACTTCATTCTATAACTGTAAAGCTGCATTCTAGCAGGAGGATAGTTCCATGCTGAAGTGAAGTCTTTCTAAAAATAATCTTTTGTGATTTTTTTTATGTCAAATAAATATCTAAAGACAAATACCTTTATCTGTGTGTAGAACCATCTCCCTGGGCTGTCACTCACCCAACTGGAACATTCTTCATGATTGGTAATATTAGTTTTGTGTAACCTTTGAGTTGGTTGTCAGCACACGCAGCAGACGTTCAACTCAGGTGCCACCAACAGACTGCCCTACAAGGAAATAAGTGCGGACAGATCTGTAGCTAGTGAAAGGCAAGTTTATAGAGCTTAGGAAATATCTATTAAAATATTGGTACATAGATGAATATATATTTTTACACCTAATTATATGCATGCAAATATATGCATTCTTGGAAACCGTGTTTCTCTTACAGTCCTATACCAGATTTTGAAAGGCTTTAACTGTGAAATAGTTATTGCTTTGTAATATATGATACATTTTAGAAGAGTAAAAATTCTAGTTACATATTCTCACAAAATAAGGACAAGTGCATCTATTTTGATGTTTATCTGCACTCGTTTGAGTACAATAGAGAATTACAGGCAAATGATTAGCACATTGATTTTCTTTTGTTGTTTTTTTTTGTTAATGCATCCAAATTTTTATAGTATATGTTCTACTTGTAAGAAAAAAAACCCTCTAAATGTATGTAATAACGATGAAAGATTCCCTAATGAAGTGGAAAGAATGAGGAGAATTCATTAATAAAGATAATTTATGAACTCTCAGACTTCATTTAATTCTTTTATTACCAAGTGCAACAGCTATGTGCTCAAGCTTAAAATAAATTTATTTTAAGCTTGAGCAATTAGCAAGTGTTTACCACCAAGAAACCCCTTAGGATAGATAATTGAGTGATTTCTCTATCTCCCTCTGGCAAGGCAATAAATTTACAATCCTGTTTTGGGATTCTACCTGCTGATTTATACGATTTATATAGAATATTTATTCTGTATATTTAATACACCAGATTAATCAGCAAGGTATTAGAGTAACTTTTTTTGGTATTGTATTTTTATTCTGTTGTTTGCTGATTTTATTTCCATATATTACTTTAAGGTTAAGTTTTACTTTTCTAGCATATTTTTTCCACTCCCTTAGAACCCCCTCCCCCCACCCCCCTTTTTCTTTTTTCTTTTTTTTGCAAATGGTTACAATTTACATATATGTTAGAAAACAATGTTGAACAGTATAACAAAGACTGATAATTGCCAAAATTGGTTCAGCCATTAATGCATTTCTCTTATAATGAAACCAGGTGATGAAATTGGTAAAACATTTGCTAAACACTGTTACTACGACAGTACAAGTCATGGTGTGCTCTTACAACTTAGATGTTATTCATCTGAAATAATGTGCTTTTCTAACACACCTTACACCATTAGAAACCTACCAGGAGTTGTTACCTAAGCATGATTTCTCAAACAGGTTTTGCACGATCCCTTTGTTTGTTGAGTTATGTGTTGTCAGTAGACATTCTACTGTTTACCTATGACACTGTGGGGGAGATTTATAAAAGTGTTCTGTTCTAAAAAGTGTTTTAAAGCACAAAAAGTGGGGCAATCAACATGGAAACCAGCAGGCATATTACATTTGACATATTTGCCCTAGTTTTAAAACATTTTGATAAATGTCCTCCTATATTTAAATGTTTTCTCATTTTATAGTAACGTTTTATTTATTCTGCTCAGTTAGCACAAGTGCAGAATCTACATGCACCAGTAAGAGTGAAACGCTTGGTAGACCTTGAACACGACTTATTTGGTAGAGATTTCCCGTCACTGTACATTTGGCTTCCAAAAACATGCCAGACCCCTTATCTCTCCCACCACACCTGCACTACTCATTTTGATATGTGTGTGGAGTAAAATTACACAAATATTTCCCTTAATTAACAATCCATCCCTCCATCCCTCACACCAGTCTTATGTAACAGACTCTTTACACCAGGCATGACTTCACCCACTTTGAAGACAATGACCTCTCAAAGTATTACCACTTATTTTTACTAATCAACAGCTGACTACCAAAACCACCCTGCTCAATTCCTTTAACAATTTTAAGTACCTCCAAATATGCAGCTTCCTTGACTCCCCTCTCAACAGGAAAATATGAACATCCACAGTCCCCTTGTTTGAAAGGACATGCATGCAAAGTCCAGTGAAAAAAGGCCAGAACTTTGTATTCTACTCAGTCAATATTTAAAACCTCTCTTCGGGGGCACTTTATTATGCATCAGCTTGGGAGAGGAACCTGGGTCCTCAAGAGGTTCCGACAGACTGGGTCATGCATCACCATTTGCGTCAATTATAAAGTATAGACAAAAAAAAAGACAATGTTACATTGGTACCGCACCCTTAACAGGCTATGCAGATGGGATGCTCAGACACTGACCTTTGGTTGAAGGGGTGTGGACAAAGAGGTACATACCTCCACCTTTTGTGGGAGTGC